GCATTAAAAAGGCCCAAATCTGCAGGTCTCTGGAAAATCGGCGTGCTACCCAGAACACACATAGAAAGAAGTCCCGGCAAATTAATGTAAACATTTGTGGTATGGAAGCTGCATTTTACGACAACTGATGTGTCTGTGACAATGCAGCATCAACTTTCCACAGACCCTTCCCTCCCAGTATTGTCAGGTCCACCCTGGTTTCCAAGGATTACGAGGCAAGTATAAATCATCCAGCGTATCTGCCCCTGGTCAGGCTGTGGGAGGGATTCATCTCCCTGCTCCCACCTCTGATTTGATTGACGGTGCACCACTGTATGATTTCCATTCCCGCCCTCAACTGTATGTCTGCCAAATTATTTTGCCGAGTTTGGGGAATTTTTGGAAGTGATTCCCGGCGCTCTGTTACATGTTAGATAACGTTGGAAAGCGATGCCAGATTTTGATTCTAAATGTAATTCGTTTTGTGAGTGGTGCCAAAAACTACCGGGGGGGGGGATGATCCTATTGGCCTCAAGTGGGACCAAGAGGGGGTTCTTTTTTCTCGGCAATAGAGGCTCCTTTGGTCAGAACTTAACTTCACTGGTTCATGAACGACTAGGAAATGCACTTGTCACAGTCGTATCAGTACCAACAAATTGAACACTCCCAACCGATGCAGCTCTTTTCAACCAATGAGGGGTGCTTCTGCTCGAGGCCGATAGACTAATCTGAGGAGATGGCATCTCACGTGCAACGGCTCACTTTGCCCTATTGGTCAAAGAGGCATTCATTGTATGCCTGTTCACCTGCCCACAAACGTTGTGCCTCTGCAGTAATGACCTCAAATTCTGGTTGCCGAATTAAACTATAGCCCCTTTTCCCCCGATCAGAAAGATGGGGCCCATAATGCTCTGCAATCTCCTCTCTCGGAGCAAAATGTCTTGGCCTGAAATATCGATCCCAAAGACCATATGGACGGTCTATCTACTTAGGGGTTGGGACGATGTTTATGTACTTACAATATTGGAGCAATGTATGAAACACATGCATAACCAGCACTGACAGGTGTTGAAATGTTTCTTTTAAGCCAGAGCCCTCACAATATTTGCGTTCAGAAAGTTCTCCATTTACCGCTCTGATTGACAGTGAGGGACTTGGGTTTATTGGGAGCCAGTGCTAATTTTTTTCAGTTATTTTTGGAGGGCCTTAGGGCTTTTTAATTGTTAATTTTCCAGCTGTGTCGTGCTTGGAAGGGGTCGGAGGAGTGTAGAAGATGTTCTGTCGCCCATCCTGCTCGTGGGGAGAGTGGGAAATGGGATCTGGCGCAATCGCTTCGCATCCTTGGTGGAATATGTAGCAATTACGACAGTTAGAGTAGGCGTGTCGACAGCGTCTTGCCCCCTGGCCCCGGACTGGAGCTTCGCGGTTTACCCAGGCGTCACATATCAATTGCGATAAGGATCTCACAGCGAAAAAATATTTGTACGTGAAATTGTCTCGAGGAAAAAGACGGCACCGTCTGGCTTGATGATGCACACATGTGGCCTACTCTCAAACACACAGTGGGTGTGAGAATTGGGAAAGATTCTCAATGTGTGTATTTTTGCCGACGTTGTGCCTTTTTTACTTTTACGACAGTATGTTATTGAACACCCCAGTTTATGGTGTAACATTTTTAATATGGAGTCCTCAGAGGCCGACTTTTTACCCGTTTACTGTTGTTTTTATAAAGGACTTTGCAGTTGCATAGCCTGTATCTTTTTGTCCGTGTTATTGATTTGGAAAGAAAAGGTACATAGGTACAGCACACGCTTATTGATAAGTGATAAATTGACAGTTACGATGTTATTAAAATAGCAGGAACTATTTATGCTCAGTTTTTGAAATTTGTAAAGACTTGGAGTTCTGTGACGCATAGGGTGCCATTGTCTAGGTGTTGAGTGAATTAAATGAGTAATGGCTGTACACGTACAGTATTCCAGCACACCTCAAGTAATTTACCCCTCCTTCTGCTGTAACCGTCAAAAACGGTCAAAAATTCCTTCCACTTGATTTCCCCCAGTACACAGACACATATGGGAAATTTGACTGATTTTGACTGATATGACAACTGTGTCAAAAATGTATCTTTGCATAGGAGGGTCTCCTTTTGCTGGAACCGTCAGAAACAGTCAAAAATTGCTTCCACTTGATTTGCCCCAGTACACAGACACATACATGTATGGGAAATTTGACTGGTTTTGACTGATAGGACAACTGTGTCAAGAATGTGTCTTTGCATATGAGGGTTGTAATGTATAGAATATTCCCAGTGGTTTTGTTTTGGGAAAATCTTACAAATTACAGGGTTGAGTGGATACATGTACTGTGCAGAAATAAGGAGACAAAAAAATTATGGCAATGATGTAAAACGAAGGAGCGATCTTAAAAATGTTTATAGAATTTTGTTTTACCATCTGTTTAAAAAAATGACGATGGGTTCATCAGAATTTGTGCAAAAGAGATTTTTCCAAACAGAAAATTCAACCAAAAAAAAGCCAAATCAGCCTGATCTCCCCCTCGAAAGGGGGGGGGAATGAATAGAATTAATTCCGTGCCCAAGAAGCGCGATTTCTTTTCTTTTGTGCCCTGACGAGAAATTTGCTAAATACCAAAGAAACATCCCACTGTTGAATATTTGCCCTCTGGAGTGCACTCCTGTTTTTTTGCCTGCTATTTTCTGTCCAACATCCCTAACTATAGATCCCAGGCCCTCGTGACCGGAATTTACGACAGGTTGCCCAATATATATCTCCCTGCCTTTTTTGACTGGCAAGCACGTACATTGTACAACTGTAGGCCCATCTTGACTGGTAAACTGAGGCGTCCTGTGACGATCAATAGTTGAATTTCCCCAAGGGGCAGGTTTTTTTTTTTCTCCGTCTTCTTTTTTCTCCCGGTTTGGTCTTTGCCTCGCAAATATCACCTGGTGTCTTGAAGAAACTACTCTCGGTCTGGAAATTTTGTACTTCTGGATATTCTTCAGCGATGCAGAATTAATATAATCGACATGAGGACATGCGGACTTTCTTTGATGGAGAGGGGTGCGATAGTTGGCCACAGAATACTAACGTCTAGTGCACTGCGGAGGTGTTACCGTAAACGTTCTCAGTGCAGTGATAGATTGCCTGCACCACATGTACATGTACATGTTTATTAGGCCATCCCATCTGCAAGCATGCTAGCCCTGAGGTTGTTCGAGTATGTACATATTCATGAAGCTGTGACTGGATTTGTGTCTGAAAACCACATCAACCCTCGACAAGTTTGCATTCAACTCACAATTGGAAAGGTGCAGGTACGATTACGTGCATGTACATACCGGGGTGTTTCTGGGAATACATTAAACATGAACGTGTATGTTGCAAGTCCCCAGAAATTTGGAATGGTTCCAAAGTGAATTTTTAGGAACAAAAAATTGAGCTCTAGTTACACTGTATCAGTGCAGTCGTCAAAAAAATTCCCCGATCAGCTCGTGCTAGTACTGTATGAATCAGACTATAGACATCGGAATGTAGTCAGCCACGGCATTTGGTGAAAACACGCAGAAAGCCGTGGAAGAGGACATAAATTTAGCGTAAAAGTGCATGTGACTCGCTAAGATTGCTTGAAATGCACTTGTGGACTATACATTACCGGGAATGATGGCAGTTTGTCGCGTACCAAATGCACTGCTTGCAGAGTTCTTGCATGAAGGGCCAAAGGTGAAGATGTACCGTACCAGTACCCAACAATCCTGTGACTTGCCTCAAAATGAATTTGCAACCCAACCTAACAAACTGAATCCCAAGTCATCAGAACAACTTTGGAGTCAATGGCCTTTTGAGAGCACTTTGCGCTATGTTACATGTGGGGCCTACATTTTTGGTAATATCCCTGGGCATGTAAACTTACGTACATGTAGGGAATTACCGGTAGTGTGTTTCTCATGTACTGGCCGTTTTCCACGAGAATGTCATGTTAAAAGAAAGAGCTCAGTTTGCTCATTGTAATCCAGATTGAAATGCACATGTACATGTAAATACATGTACCACTGATATGACTGGGACAAATGGCTTTAAGACTCATTTTGTTGGACCTGTCACATTTACATGTACATGTAAGTCAGCAATAACGACATTTGTTCTCCAGTAAAGGGCATTTGCGTTAGACATATTCCAAATAGCAACATTCGAAAAAAAAAACCAAAGCAATAGATGTCATGACCTGTGCGACATTTCCAGGCGTAATCCTTTTAAATGATGCAGCCCCTGCCCGTAATTTCAGTTTCAATATTGGTCACCATATGTGAAAGTCAGTGTTTAAATGGCACTTTATTATGCATGTACATGTACATGCCATACATGCAGGAGGACATATACATGTACTTCATCTGTGCACAGTTGTAGGTCTGTGGGTACACACATGGTACTTGTGTGTAATGGGCTCTCTTCATGGTTCAGTTGAAAAGGAGGCTGGACTGGCAAATTTTGGTCAAGTGGCTCTTGTGCAGTGGCTGTATAACACTCTCCATGTATGAAGTGATAGTGTGTAAAGTCTGCTTTTAGCAGACTCACTTTTAACCCCGTCTGAAAGTTGAGCCTCACTTTTGTTACAGTTTGCAAGTGCAGCCTCACTTTTGTTCCTTTGTACATATGGGTATGTGTTGTCGGACTTTTTCAGAAAAATCATGTGTAGAAGGTGCTCCTTCCTTTTGTCACTGATCTTATTTATCATATGGCTTTGAAATTTGGCATGTGGAGATCGCACAAAAGCTCTTGTAAATGTAATAAGAGCCCCACAATGTCTGAAAGTATTAATCTGTGTGACCAACTTCTCCCTACTTTTGAAATTGACAGTAGGACATGTACGATAGATTCTGCAAGTTTTGTTTCAGCAGTTGTTTCATTATGTCATGTGCAAGCCCGTGCCATTGTCGCAACATCAACATGTCCAATTTACACGTATTCAATCACATGCTTGCTTTCTCTTACTGTCCACAGGATTGGTTGCCAAGGGGAGGAGCCTCAGATCCCAGTGACCAATCTAATCACTGGACCCCATGATCATGGACGGAGAATCGGCCAACCAGCACATAGTTGGCAATGGCAAACTGGACCCGGCTGTTACCATCTCCGGCGCCCTTCCCTCTGTGAGTGTGGCTAACGTCATCACTGGCACACAGGTTGGTTTCAAGGTTCTTTCCTCCCAAAGAAACTTCTGTAAGGAGTGAGTTTGCATGAAGAATCTTGATGTGTTAGTACATGTACGTGTACAGGGATATATTCATTTGCTGTCCACTTTTCTGTTTGATGGACTATTAAAAAAATAAGTGGCACATGTTGTCTGTTAAAGAGAATGTGCCCGCTTTAAGGGGGTACACAGTTGGAACATTCCCCAGTCAGTGGGGAATTTTGCCACATTCCTTAGCAATGACTTTGGTGTTTGTAGAGCTAATACCCTAATAATAATAATTCTGCTGAAGAAAACATCTGTAAAATTTCAGACTTAATCCTCGTTGCCGTGGTGCCCGTAATAAATGTGTGCGCTAATCCTAACCATGTGGATTTTGTCCTCCCAGGATCCCATGGTGTCGGGCCAGATGACCTTGAAGACGACCTCCAATGCCAAGCCGCAGAGCGCGTCGGACCAGCTGCTGCTGGCCATGCAGAGCGCCACCGGTGGTCAGGCCATCCGCAGCGGTATGGTAATCAGTCCCACCAAGCAAGCGTTCCAGTCGGGGTTGAAAGGTTAATAATCCAACAATTTCCTGCGATATGGGGCTGGGCACTTTAATTTCTCTCTAGTGCTGAATCCAACAATTACTAACAGGTGTCATGGGCACTGTTTTTCGTTTCCTCTCATGCTGCCGAGTCTGACATTTCCTTACTTATGGAACTCTTCCTGTTGGATACCTTGTCAATACCCAAGCCAAGAAACTCTCACAAAAATAATGAAGTCCAAAACATTCCTATAAGTGGAATTGGCACTGTTTAATTGTAGTCCTGTGCTACACCCGAGGATTGCCTCCTCCTCTCTCATGCCTGATTGAGCAATTTCCTTCAAGTGGAGTTGGCAATGTTTCATTCTCCTCTCACGACATTTCCCTACTCTTGGAAATTGTTTGATTTCCGGCCAGTGCCAAATCTCAGAAATTCTTACAAGTGAAATTTTGGGGGGGGGGTTTGATTCTTGCCCAAGGCAAGTCCAACAAATTCTTACAGGGGCACCGTTTGATTCTCTTCTCACGCCAGATCCAATCAGATTTCACACGTTGAGTGTGACATTTTCCTTCTCATGGAATGTTGAATTCTCGTTAAATCCCTACCGGTGCCAGATGGAACGGTTCTTGATTCCTGTCCCAGCCACTTGCAGTCAGGTTTTCCCTCGCGTTCCTACCACACAAACGCAGGTCGTCATTTTTTTGATGTGGGGGGATGCTTTTGGGCCTTTGCAAATTGGAGGGCAGAGTTCTCACTTGCGCTGTACAAAGCAAATATCAGGGCTTTTGAGTTGCTGTCCTTCTGTTGAGCTAAATCCTACAAATTTGTGATTTTTTGTTGTGTCGGGCACCCAATAATAATAATAATAATAATATTTAAATCAATGTTGCGCTTTCTCCAGGACATGCTTGTTCATAAGCGTATTACACTAGTTAAAAATAGCAACTAAAATTAATACAAAAAGACCCGCACACAGTAAACCCCAAAAAAGAAAATTATAACTGAACTGAAACAAATAAGTATCATTAGTTGTATGTAAATATTTGAACTTAAAAAGAACCCAGGGCCCCTTCAGACACATCCAGCCCCAAAATACACCCAATCCTCTGTTTACAGTTATTGGTGACTAGTCAATTTTTGAGCAAATTTTTTGCCAATGCTACTGATGGACTCTAAATGCGTTCCTAGCAAAATTGTATATTTTGTAAATAAAGTACACAAGTGTTCTTCATTTCACCCTTTTTAAATTTACAGCACGAGTGTTTGATCTGGCATCACAGTTACTCATTAGTGTTTGCCTTTGCCCCAGGTGTAAACTGGCCTTTAATTTGAGCAAATTTTACTGCACTTGCTTTCTGATGTCAAATTCACCTCGTGCTCACATTCACCCGAGGTGCATGTATGGATTGACCTTTAGGCTGTATTGAAGCTGAAGGAACTACAATGGATACACATTGTATATATTTTGTATTACTTGACATTGTTCCTGGTATTCATCCCAGGCCTCGGGACCACGATTCCCGCATCATTAGGCAACTCCACCTCCACCCAGCAGCTCCTGTTGTCTCCGCCCATACAGACACTGCAGTCACCCCAGCAGGTCTTAACCAACCAGGTTAGATGTATACCAAGTCGAGCCACTTCCCACTATTAACATAAGCCAAGTTAAAGATGATTTGCGCTACTCAAACAAGTTTGACACTGTCTCAAAGCAGTTCGAGTCTAACCTGTTCCACCTGCTCTGATGCTTCCATAATAGTGTACTATAAGGTGTAGGTACACCACCTGAAAATTAACACAGATTTGAATTGGTGCTGGCAGTCCGAACTAGCTTGATAAATGTTACAGCCAGTGTGTAGTGTCTAAACCCTTGTAGAGTTACAGCAGTGTGCATCAAATAAAATCCAGAAAGCATTGTCACTTGAAATCTATCAAAACATGTTCTTGGTAGGTCTGTGGGTACATGTACACATGAGTGAAGGATCGTCACTTGTAAAAATCAACGTACTGTACATCTACTCCTGTTTGTTTGTGATCCGGATCAGTTATTCAGTGGCATGCCACAAGGTTGGAACCAGAGTATGACTTGTTGTTCATAGTGCAGATGTGGTACTGGCTGGCCAAACAACTAGACTAGGCTAGTAACACTAACAGAGGCCAGTTCAACAAGAATCTTTTCCCAAGTAACGTACATACAGTCATAAGGGACACTTATGGTGCAGTTTTGGAGAAGTTGGAATTGTGTCTTGTCATTGGCAGCTGTCGGCAGCCCAACAGATCTTCACCATCCCGTCCAACAATGCTACCGGCCAGCAGCAGGTCCTGACCTTGCCCATCACCAACGCGGCCGGCCAGCAGCAGATCCTGACTATCCCTGTCAGCCTGGCCCAGACCTCGGGCGGCATCCAGTTCCTCATCCCCACCAGCGGTGGCCAGCTACTGGCAGCCAACATTGGCGGGGTGGTGCCCACGATGGCCAACGCCTCGACTGGGGCTGCCAGCCAGACCAATGTCACGTCAGCTCTCGCAGGTAAGGACAGTTCCCCGCTTCGTTCAAGTGGGCTGAAATTTGTTGTTGAAAAGGTTTTTATTTTGCTGGCCATTGGTGGAGCCCAGTTGGTGGCCACCAGCATTCAAAACTGGTTTTTTCTCAAAGGCCATTGATTTTGAGGCCAACAGTGTTTGCCAGTGACCCCAAGTATCAGCCAGTAAACGGCCACTGATGTCCATGGCCAACTTACCACTATTTGCTGTTGTCACAAGTATGACTGCTCATTGCGAATTCCTTGTCAAAGTGACGTGACTGATGAAAATGTTGGACCAGCAGAAGGACATTTTTTTCGATTTCCTACTGGCCTTTGTTTTTTCCCTCCCCATTGCCCCGCAGGTCTGACGCAAACCACCTCCGTCACCTCGCTCAGCAAGCAGTACACCAGCAGCAGCAGCACCAGTGCCGCGGCTGCCGCACAGCCCGCCACGACTACCGCCGCTACCACCCCGCTGCCCTCCATGTCAGTTCTAGCCAGCCAGACCGGGCTGGGTCAACTCCCGCTGCCCCAGATGCTGATGAATGCCACAGGTATGAAAGGCGGGGGGGGGGACGAGGTGAATCCCCGCCCACTTTGGGCCCAGAATTACAGGAACTGTGCAGTAGGGTCTTTATGATAGGTGAGGCACACCTTTGTCTACATATTGCTGAAACGTTGGCCTGGAGAATCATTGCATGGGATCCTTTCTCCTTCTTTTTCCAGCGCTTTAACCCATTCACGCCGGGATTCTTTTGACCGCGACTGCTGGGCTGCAGTATGCCCAGTATCCAAAGCCCTGTCCAGCAGCAGGCCCGCATTGAAACCGCACGTGCATTATGAATAGAGTGTATGAGCGCTGTGCACTAATCCTCACACAAAACGGCGGCTGTCGACGTCTCCCGGAGCGAAAGGGTTAAATAAAATTACAAACAAGTCTACAAACTAAGTCTTGCATGAATTATAAATACATGTATTTCCTATTTGTTTTCCAAAATGACTTTGGTTCTTGAACATGAAAAACGTGGGCATTGTAAGCATTATATAAGATACAGTGTGAGAACTTGTGAATGTTATTTTTAAGCAAGATCAGTATTAGATGTGATGCTGCAAGGCACGTTATGAAATTGTCAATATCAGCTTCATGATGTTAATGTTTTTTCCGATTAATTTGCATGTACATTGTCTCCAGGATTAAATTCCTCAGCGAGAGCCTTAGCGGCAGCTGGTCTAGCCACCATGGTCAGCGCGCCACCTTTGACCCAAGTAGGTCAGCTGGGGGCCACCAACCAACAGACCACTGCCACGCCGGTCCTGACCACCACGCAGCGAGCGGCTGTGCCGGCCGCCGCGGCCAGCACCACGGCGGCCACCACCGATCCGGCTGCAGCCGGCCTGACCAGCCAGCAGATAGCGGCCCACGGGCTGGCTTCCACTGGCCAGCTGCTGGCCAGTCATGGCCTCCCTAAGCAGCTCATCACCACGCAGAGCCCCGTCATCGTCGGGGCCGGTCAGGCCACTGGCGCGCAAGCGGCTGGCGTCCAGCAGCTCATCGGTGGCCAGGTGGTGACGCAGGCAGTCGTCGGGAGTACATTAGTCACCACCCAGGCCAACAATCAGGTGACAGCTGCCCAGGTGAAAGCGCCCTCTTCGCCCACAAATAACACAGCGACGGTGACGGGTAGCTCATCAGGTAAAGGTACTGTGAGGCAATCTTCCAATTTTGCTGTTTTGGAGACTAACGGCGGCCCATGGGTTCTTACGGTACACAGCACAGATGTACATGTATGCTACCTCAAATGCAGGAACCCAACCATATCTCCAACCTGTTAAGTCTGAATGTTTCATGTGCATGGGGAACATTCCGGATCTTATCGATCAAGAATACAAGTATACACCGTTCACCTTGGTGCGAAGATGATAGAGGGCGCTTTATGTTTCTTACAGCAGGTGTGTACTTAATGTGGGGAATCTCAGTCTTAAAATGCACAGACTCGTGAGGTCGTGCTTGTGTGGCAATGGCATTGCTATTTCATCGTAGTCCTCGTCGCAGGTGAGGGTGCACTTAAGCATAGAGCTCATACATATGTACGCGTAGAGAGGTGCATGGGGACACCTGATGGATCCGCCCTTATATACTGTCAAGCAAGCCTAATTATGGCTACTAAAAAGGGGCAGTTTTGGTTTGGTGACGACAGGGTATACAGAGAGCAGCTCACCCCTTAACCTCATTGCGGTTTTGTGGTCAGAGAAAAACTGGTGCAGAATCTCCAGTCCTGCCGCCGCCCTAGTGCCGTTGTGGCAACCTTAATTACCATACCTCATGCATATTCATGATCCAGAGTGAAACACCTCACCGGTCCATGCACCTTCTCGTGTGAGCTGCTGTCGTTGGTCTCCACTAGGTGCGGGACGCAAGGATTTACCCATGGGTGAAAACCCGGTTTGTCTGGTACTGTGCATGAGCACCTGGTGAACACGCAAGAAAGAGCAGCCCATTCGAGGACGTGAATGGACCGACGAGGCAGGGTTTCCACGGTAACGTCCCGGAAAGGCCTTCAAAAAGTCATGAAATATGGTGTTCAGATTTCTGTGGGAACCCTGTGACGGGAACCAGTTCATCAGATTCTGGTGCTAAGGGATCTGATGTGGCCTCCTAACCCCCAGACCATGTTTTGATTGGAAAATAAGCAGCCAACAGCGGGGAGGTCAGGAGACTTTGTGTGCTAGTTTTCTCTTGATCTCTGGTCTGTGTTGGGGGAAGTATGGCAGGTGTTACTGGACATCTGGAAAATTGATTATAGTGTGTTTGTACCGTTACCCATGGGCCGTCAGATGGCATTGCACTGAGCATGACACTGCCGTAAGCATGCTGCAGTCATCCAAAACCAAAGCGCATGGAAGGTTTGGCCCGCAGCTAACTCACATTAACTCATGTAACAACTTTCATCTCTTTATATAATGCTAATAATGCCTGGGTCCAATTGCAAGGAACTTCTTTAAAAGCAGAAAAATTATCACTTAGATTTATGCGCCCAGTAAAAAAAAAAGTGGCTGGGAACCCGTTGCTTGCAATACACATTGCATAGCATTTTGACTGGTAGTCTGTTTACTCTTGAAAATGTCCATGGTGATAGTTCCATGAGATTGGTACCCAGTTTTTCTAAAATGCATTGGTACTCCAACCCACATCACAGATTTGTACAGTCCCATTCTAGATAATCCCTTTAACCCACTCTACAATTTACTACACCATTTGTAAGAAACTATTAATTTTATAATAATTTTATGATAATTTTATGATAACTCACATAACATGCAACTTCAGAGAAAATTGGCAGCCAAGTTAACATTTTGATCTGGTCCAGAGCAGCTCAATTAACATAGATGATTAACAAATGAACCTAATTTGAATCAAAGTTACAAGCACTAGATAATGCCAGGAGCGCATCGGCCTCCTCCATAAATATATTTGCCTGATTTCACCTCAGTTTCTTGAAGCTTTATTGAAACCGAGCAATGTCCTCTTGAGTAAACTCCTAGGCCCTTCCAATAATCCCACTCTGGTGGTTGCCTGGATACCGTACCACTTTGTGGGTAGGCCTATAGACCTTTTTCCTGTGATGTCACAACCGTGCCGGACCGCAGTGTGTTGTGACGGGAATGAATGCGTAGTGTTGCGATGGTAATCTATGTATTCAAGATAAACTAGTCAAGCGTGCAGCGTTCACACGTGCGCTTGTACGTGGTGGAAGATGCCCGTAGGAATATAGGCGATCACCATGGCCAAGGCGGTCCACACGTGGTGGTATTGTTTACGTTTAGCGAAATCCAGTCTTGTGGGTGAAAAAGGTCTATATAGCTGTGCTCATAGAACGATTGTGCCCACTTCCGGTATGTCACATGACCTGTAGTGGGTATCAAACATGATATTCTCCGACAACAACGTGTGCTCATACGTCTTGTTTCCATACAAAAAGCCAGTTGTCAGTACAGTACTTAGTGCGTCGGCAGTCTCAGCGCTGTACCGACGGTCGGCTTTGTTTTTGGTAAATAACATTTATGACACACTTTGCTATGGGAGAACACTGGATTTGCTGATGTTTGGTACTCAATATAGGTCACACGACTTAGCAGGCGCAGTCGGTCTATTTTGGGGTAACAGGACGCATGTATACCTGAGAGGCTGAAATTTGGCATCCAGGTTAAATTCTCAGTGCTTACCATTGTCCAATAGTAGTGCAGGCACTTTAATGCTAAGCACACCAACAACTCTGCTAAGCAGAAAGAGGTTACCAGTCAAATTGCATTAGACTGCACACTGCCAGTGATTGGTTCCCGGCTGATATTTTTAATTCCTACATTTTCGAAGCAATAATTTCTGCTGGGCAGCATCAGCAAATTTCGGCATCCTGCTGGACACCTGTTCAAGAGAACCTACATTGACACTGAAATCTTGAAGTATTTTGCTTCACCCTTCACTGACAGGCTTGATTTAGCACTGTCTGCTTAATGCTTTTGGACACTTCTTGTTTTAAAAAAGTTTCAGAGTTACTTAGTTAGGGGCTGGAACCCATAGCCTTCTGTTTTATCAGTACAGTGGTCTTACCACTAGATCAACAAACTTACCCTGGACCAACTTAGCAAACTCATTATTAAAATTAACATTTATGGGAAAATGCTCTTCAGCACTGATGCTCATTCTGCTCTAACAAATTTGCAACCGTACTTACGTTTTGTCCCTCTAACTTCCCGTCCCCGTGCTCCCTTCCATTCGGTTCCCCCAGCAGTTAGCAGTCTGGGCAATACCACCGAGGTGGACGGTATCAACCTGGAGGAGATCAAGGAGTTTGCCAAGGCCTTCAAGATCAGACGGCTCTCGCTGGGGTTGACGCAGACGCAGGTTGGCCAGGCATTGAGTGCCACAGAGGGGCCGGCCTACAGCCAGTCTGCCATCTGCAGGTGAGAGACGGTTTTGAATTCCAGCATTTCGCAAGTACCTCATTGTTGAATTTTAAGTACTTCACTGTTAAATCAAGTACTTCATGAGAACTTCATTGTTGTAGTTGACCATTTTTCAAGTCCTTCATTGTGGACGTCAAGTACTTTTGCCAATACTTCAGTGTTGCAGTCGAGTACTTCACAAGTACCTTGCTGTTGAAGTTGAGCACTTCACCAGTTCTTCATTGATGAAGTTGAGTACTTTACAAGTACTTTGCTGTCCTGGAGTGCTTCACAAGAACTTCACTGTTGAAATTGACTACTTCACAAATACTTCAGTGTTACTGTTGGGTACATCCCAAGTGCTTCAGTGTTACATTTGATTACTTCACAAGTACTGTACATGTTCTCTTAGAGTGGAGTGCTTTACAAGGTATTCAGTACTTCACAGGTGCTTTGCTGCTGAAGTCCAGTGTTTAAATCAAGTATGTCACAAGTACTTTGTTGCCTTGGAGTACTTCACAAGTACTTCTTTGTTGACATCGAATACTTCACATCACGTTTTTTGACTGCAAATAATTTGTCATGTATTGTGACAAGAGAAAAGGCAGTAAAATGTAATTTGCCTCTGTCTTGTCACCCAGGTTTGAGAAATTGGACATCACCCCCAAGAGTGCCCAGAAGATCAAGCCGGTCCTGGAGAGGTGGATGCAGGAAGCCGAGGAGAGGCACAAAAATGGCCTGAGCCAGCTCTCCGACTACATTGGCAGGTTGGACACAGCTTTCCTCTCGTTCTCCTTCAGAAATGTGGCCCAGTACAGAAGAATGAGTTGCAAATCCCCTGAGTCTATTTTTAGCTTTATATCTTCAAACGAGTCTGTCTCATTGTAAATCAGTAGGAATTCTCAACCTTTTTTGCTCACATTATGCCAACATTTGCCACAGTATGAATTTGAGCAAAACATCCAAACAAAGCCCTCTGGTCTGCTTTTTCCAGTGCAAACAATACTATTGAAAAAAATGACCTTAATTAACACTCCACCTGTGGGATGCGGTCACCCAAGAAAGTTATGGGTCTGATATTGACTAAGTGCATGAACCTCAGGGGGCACTTTCCTTTGAAGTGGATGGAACAAGGTGTTTAGTTTCTGTTTGTTCCTATTATATAAAAACTCTTCCAAGGACTAAGTATTAAGGTGTCAAATAACACAGAGAACTGCTAAAGACTTGCAGAGAACCACTCACTACATTTTCATCTGACATTGCTGTCTGACCTATCAGCTTTGTCCTTTTCGATGTAATGCCCATTGAGATAGTTTAGGGGCATCCAAGCGCGTTTCATGAAGTGGTTGTTATACAAGACATGACCGTGTCCAAATTACTTGGCTGCATCTTGAAATTGCACACGAGTCTGTCAGAGTGGCTGGTGCCGCTTCCCACAGGGTTGAGTGTAATTCCGAGGCCACGGCCCTTGGTACTCAAACACACATGCACAATGAAGGAGTCTCCGAGTCTGATGGCCTGGTGCTGATTAGTTTGGCGTCCGTGTTTTTCTTCCTGTCCCCAGCAGTGAGCCCACCAAGAAGCGCAAGCGCCGAACCTCCTTCACCCCGCAGGCCCTGGAGTACCTGACGCTGCAGTTTGAGAAGAACACCCACCCCTCGGGGGCAGAGATGACGGCCATGGCCAACGAGATCAACTATGAGCGGGAGGTGATACGGGTCTGGTTCTGCAACAAGCGGCAGGCCCTCAAGAACACCATCAAGAAACTGAAGGCGGTCAACGATGCAGGGAGCCCGCAGGAGACGGATCCCAGTGAGACCGTTGTCATCAAGACGGAAGAGACATATGCCTAGGGGGAAACAGACAAACAACCTCGTGTCCGGCCACCAATAGACCAGAAGGGATTTGTATTACAGTGAACAAACACCCATGCCAAATTTCTTGCAATGCTTATAAAACATAGAGTTTTCGCCATGAGAATCAACTTTCCTAGATTATTGCAGAGTTTGGAAACGTCCCCAGAAAAATCCCAAAAGGTCCCAGAACTAATTTAGTTCATGTCCTGAAAAGCCTTGATGAGGTCTGGGGAAAGTGGGATATTGTCGAGGGGAAAAACCCTCAGAATGCGGCAAAACTTTGGATTGAAATGATGGGAAAAGTTCTGGAAAAGGGCAAGTGGGAAAAAATTTTCGGAAGTCCTTGAATTTGCCACCTTTCCTGAAAAATTGAGGAAATTCTTTCAAACTTCTAGGGGAGAGTAATTTGGGGAACATTGCAGAGAATCCAATGGAGTGCCCTCCGATCATTTTTCTGATTATGAATCTGTTTTCTGGCGCTACAAGCATACGTACTTGTACCTCTGCGGCACAAGGTCCCAGAAACGGAAAAATTGTCTTGCCAGAAATTCCACGAAATGTTAATTGCACAACTGAAGAAATACTGCTCCCGTGCTTCTCCGATAAAGCAGAGCCGTGACATTGTGCGCAGATATTAAAAGCAAGCAGCTTAGGTTCGCTATTTGCGCTGGTACCCAACCAGATGGTTCCCTACCATCATGCTGCCATTGAGATTACAAGAGGTCCACTGACAGTGGGACACTTGCCTCTCAATTTCAAACCCCCCCCCAAAACCTTTTTGTCATTCACGAACCACTTGTTTTCAGGGGCAGTTTCCAAACAGCCTGGCTTTTCCTGCCGGATTTTGAAGGAGGTCTTGTTGAGAGTGAGATGCCAGGTTTTATGCCTTCAAAGCAGCAAGTTTTATCTAGGGGGGGTGGTTAAGTTTGAAATAAAAGAAATTTGCCAATCCATAGTGCAAAAAAAACCCCGTAAAATTACAGTTGCCAAACTTTGCCTTTTGACTTTTTCACAACTCGAAGAATAACTCGAATGGATGTTGACGAGACCGAGCGAAGGCCACTCTGACTAGCCACAAAACTCAAGGAATTCACGCACCAAATGTTTGAATGTCTTGCTGCAGCGTTTCACTCACCGTTTCCCGTGTATATATTTATTTTCAGAAAAGCTTAACAAGAAAACAAAAGAGAAGTCACTCTTGTCTTAAAAATTTATGTATCTACGGAAAAGTCTGTCTGTCACCCCAGTTACCACCCAACAAAGCACCCGGTGTTGTATTTATTGTGTCTCCCTAAAGGGTGATATTTTGAAACAGTATTATTAACCATCATGTATTTGCGCTATTTTTCTAAGATGCCCTTCAGAATTATATTCCAGTTCGATGGAACTTTTATCACGTGTAGATATTTACGTTGCGCCTTTCGTAATATTTATTTGTTTCAATATTTATTCTGGACGTCCCTAGAACTTTCCTTGCGAATATTTAATGATATGTTTTTGCTGAAAGCAAATGACTCTTAAACATTGTGACTTTTTAATGGAAAGTATCCATTTTACGAAAAAAAAGGACTTTATATTTGTTATGGACGTGTATTTTTTAAGCACCATGTATTTATTGCCTCCCTAATGTCATTTTAAAGTCATTTGAGATGCCAGGGTAAGTCATGTACATGGCTTGTTGTGAGCCCACTAGGTAGTAATGATTGCTTGAGAAATTTCAGCATCCACTGTCAGACTTGTTGACTAGAAGTTGTTTCTTACCGCAGTCTTTGTAGAGGTCTAACAGTGCTGAATTTCGAGGGAAAAAATACAGAGAGATGATTAACCCCCGCACAGAAAACGAGCCCGACACTAACCAAAAGAATCCCATTTATGAAACAATTTCCTGGAGCCTGTCACGTATTCCTGTAGTTGGAAGGGAAGTCAGTTTTATGTTTCATGGTTTGAGCTTGTAATGCAGACAGTTTTTCATTTTGAAGTTCTCCCCCTTCTTCATTGTCTATTTTTTTTTTCTTTTCAGGATTTCAAAAAAAAGTTTAACCTCAAATACCTCAGTGGGTATTTGAGATTTTTCCTCCAACTCGTTTATTTTTGTTTCCAATCTGGTTGCTAAAGCAGAGCAAATTTCACTTGTAAATATGACCAAAAGATTTTTAAATCTGTAACTCCAAAGTTGGAATTCTTTAATCTTTTACTCTGATCACTGCTTGTCCATAGTTTGTCTCGAACCTACCACCCTTTTACAGTGTTTGAAATGTGGACATGGCCAGAATTCTTGAGGGTAGACTTCTTTTCTTTTGCTGCTTTTCGTTTATCGTACTTTTACCTAAATAACGCTACTTTTTCCTAAAAAATGTTACTTTTTAAAACTAAAAACCTTCAAACTGTTTTTACAAGTGCATGTTATGTAATGCGTGTAGAAAGCATGTGTACATGTATGCACAGTTAGGGTCACCATGTATACGTTGCCATAGAAACATGTAAATAATTATCTGGGTATATTTATGACAATCAATTCAATTTTTTTGTAACGAAAATGTATGTATGTCACAATTGTTTGTGAAGTTAAATAGTTAGACTAGTGCTTTTAAACGTAACAGAATTGTGTATTGTGTGGTTTTTAATTCAAATGTGGAGATGCGACTGAAATTGTGTCACATGACTGTCCACTGAGGTTGACCCGACTGCAAGATAATGTTGAAATCCCCTTGGTGCATTTGGGGGGGGTACCATATACCCTTTGTTGCGTTTTTAAGTCATGCTGCTTTTGTACACAAACAAGGGTTATTTATTTTGGGGTAGTTAAGAAACTGAAATCCAAAATTTGTCAATGATGGGTATCTGGGTATCCTCTTTAAAGATTTAAGTCTGAAAGTAAGTCATTAAGTTACATTGCTTTGGCACTGTTTTGTAACTCAATGGCACTTGGTCAAGACGATCTGTCAGCAAATTTTGAAGTTTGAAAATCAAATTTCCGTTCACTGAAACTGAAAGTAGGTGAAGCCAAGTGCAGACGAGGCATTGATGTCTTGGGCTAGGGCTCATCCCTGTGGCAAAGGTTTAAAGCCGCATCCATAAATTTACCCAGAAAACCCATAAAATGGAACAGGGTTTCATATGCAGCGAGGAGGTGGGGAAGGGGTTCGTTTGGTGTCCGGTTCCAAGTTTGAAGCATGCAGTGGTTTCATGACCATAAGACTTGATTTGCAGTCGAGTCAACCTTACTTCATTGATAAGTTGTTCACCAGTGACCATCCCAATACTGTTACTGTCATCCACAGGCCGGTGGAGACTGGGCCCATGAGAAGCATCTGGGTGCTCTTCGAACTTTGACCCTAAGGTTTCATCCCAAATAAGTACATGTATTTTGCAACAGCTTTTACCGCCCAATCGGTTACCATCCTGATGTGTGTTGAGGCAAGTGCTCATTACTAATGTTCGCTGCCCTTCAGTATTTCTGAAAAAAAAAGTGTGCACTGTTTAAGTGTTTGTACAGTCTTCTGTTTTATTTCCTAGAAATTTTTTAAAAAGTTGTCAGTTTGAAGATGTGATTGTACATGTTTCAGTTTGGATTCTAGCAATCCAACAGTTGACAACATTACTGCAATTTGGTGCTTAGCTGTTATGCCTTTACTACTAGAAATATGCCAGAGGAAGGGGAAGGAGGAATAGAGATGCTTTTGTGGGATGTGTACGTAATTGTGTGTCTTTGTCTTCTTCTTAGTGGCGCTGGCCTGGTTCCGAGAATGTTTTGGCAAATCGGTGCAGTTTCACGGAGAATCAGAGTTAAGGTGCTCCTGTGTGGAAGCTTAAAGTTTGTTCTGGAGGTTGTTTGGGTGCTGTCTGATAATTTCTCATTTTCCCTCAGAATAATTGACAGAGGGACAGGTTGTAAAACAAGTGTGTTGAGCTGATGATTTTTCACTTTGAACAGAATTGGACAGTGTTCCGAAGAGAAATCCTGAGTGAAATTAAGTATACAAGGAGTCATTCCAAGCAAAATAGGCTTCAAAATTCTCTTCAAATGAAGCCGTGGAACTGTTCAGAAAAAGTAGCTCAACCTGTTCTGATGGACATCAACTGCATGTTTTACACTTCGTGTACAATGTTGTTCCCTATAATAATGGTTAAAGTGGAATTTTAGGTTGCCGTAGGTAAAATCGAAGGTACACAGTTTGGCATTGAGTGAAATTATCAAATAGAACGTGCTCTGGCCTTCCTTAAAAATTGACACTGGAAGGACAATTTTGCACAGGGTTTTTAAAAGATTGTCAGATGGTATTTTCTTGGATTGCATTTCACTGAATGTCTATTGCTTTAAGAGCAGGTTCATGGTCTGCTCGTACCATTTTCAAAATTTGTTCCAAGGTGGTACATCCCTAAAACATCTTACCCTAAAAACATGACAAAGGTACAGATCATATTTTGTCAGGGAAGTAGATTTACCAGAAGAATTGGGGGGGGGCCTTGGAGAAGGGTCGTACTTACAAGGAAATTTGTTTTGTAAATTTTGTCAATTATTCCGTCACTCTTTGTTAATGGTATGCTAAAGTTGTTGATTTCTTTTGTTTCAATGCATTTCAAGAAGGATGGGTCCAAGAAGAAAAAAGGAGGAAGAAAGTGGACATACATGTACTGGCCATGTTGACCGATCGGCATCTTTCTCAAATGTCAACTTTCCTCAGTAGTTCTTCCATGTTTAGATTTTAAAAGAAGAGAGGAAAAGCTCTGCACCTGTCTGTAAATATGAAGCACTAGATGTTCTTTGTATTCCTAATGAATTGTTACTGGAATAACAATCACTCTTTTTTTTATGATTTATGGGACGATATTCCAACGCCTGTAAAATATGCTGACACCGTGCATGCTGATTGTATGCACAAGTTTGTATAGTTGGATCCTCTTGCAAGATTCAAAGCTTTTTTGTTCTCATTTTTGATGAAAAAAATTGGTTTTGTTTGTCACCCACCAAATTTATGAAAGTAATACTCAGAATGCCTACAAATATTCAGATGGGAGTACTTTTTGCTTCATTTCCACAAATGATGCGAGGTACGTCGTTTGAAAACAAAACAAAACGAAAAATGGATGGAATCTGTTAAGAAAAAAGGTAAAATTTGGCATTACCCGGGGAACCACGCGAATATGGTTGGCGGTTCACCACAACTTTGCTGGTGAAGTTTTTGGCTGCTCTCTCAAGTTGCTGATTTTGGCTATGTACACAACATGATCATGTAAGAAGATGCACATTTATAGTGAATTATGTAAAAAAAAATTCAATTTAAACAACTGGATCATTGACGAATACTGCTTTTTTTTTTACCAACTGTGTACAAAGGATAATCTAATCAATGCTAGAATTGGACCAATAGGGTAGACCGTACTCGTACTGTTCTGTGTGACTGGAAACTTGTGATCTGTGATGTGGAACTTGTCCTTTGAAAAAACAAAGAAAAACGAAACGCTACAATGTACAAAATATCGGTCACTGTCGCCAATACAGAAACATGCATTAAGACAAGATGTGCACCTAAGAATTTAAAAGCAGGCTGTTTGACTATCCTGACAATTTCACACAGGCATGCTCTAAAAACCCTACGGTACTCTCAGATGTTGGCAAATTTGTTCTAACAGATCTGGTGTCTCTAACAATGAAATCTTCATGGCTACATCCAGTAGTATATTATAAATACAACTCCTTTTGTTAGCATCCAGTACAAACAACTCTTGATTTATGTAAATGTGAACCAGACAGCCTATCCACTTCGTAAGTGTGACATCACTTCAGTTTAAACACATGCTCTGCACATAGGGTTACATGCATTGATCGCCGTTTACATGGAACAATGGAACCGGAAGTTAACGTGCACCTTCAGCAATCGTCCAATGAGAGCCTGCAAATCACGGCACGTTTGCCTTTATGACGAAGTCGCTTACGAACCGGATAGGTACTTCTTTATTCCATTGAACAAATAAGGATATCTTTGAGATTATTTCCACTAGATTTTGGGAGCAATATGAACATCATCAGATCATAGTTATATTTGAGACCCACGAAACCTGTTTCCGGTTTGTGACTTTGTCAGAAAGGCGGATGCGCCACGATTTGCAGGCTCTCATTGGACAGTCGCTGTAGTTGCGCGTTAATTTCCGGTTCCATGGTTCCATGTAAACAGCGATTAATGCATGTACACTGTAACACTATGTGAAGGGCATGTGTGCAATGGGTGTAGTTTAAACTGAAGTGACATCACACTTACAAACCGGATAGTATCAGTCGTTAGAAAAATTGCATCCGAGAAAGCTACAGTAATTTTTTTTTTCAATCGTTAATTTCCTTTAAATTTTTTTGTAATTTGTCACAAATCTCAAGATGGAAAGTTGCCAATCTTCACTAGTCAGAGAGTTAACCTTGAAACATATACGGGCAAAAATAATGGGAGAATACAGTTTGAAATGTGAAATTTCTCGTCAGAAATTTTACTTGAAAAGTTCAAGGGCTTGTATCCAAGCCAGGGAAGGTACACTGTCGAACAAGTGCTTTAAAGTGCCATTAGCCTTGCCATCTGAAGGAAATAAATAGTAAAACTGTTCAGAGAAATGTTAATAACCTGGGCATTGTTTTTTAAGATTATGTCAAGGTTCTAAAGTCTAAGTTAGGAATAACTGGACTGTTATAAACTTGCAGAAAACCTGGAAAATAAATCATGACAACAATATTTTGCATTGCCTTTAGAAACATGTAACTTTAATCACTGTCAACTATATAATTGTGTTTAAAAAACTGAAGCGCTTTTCCATACAAAATCAGTGTAAGTTGTCTTGTAAGTGTCAAAACTTGTATTTTATGGTAATGATGATTAGGCTAATTACAGCAATTGTCATGTAAATATTCAATGTGATAATTTTAATAAAATGTGCAAAAGTTGAAGAAACTTATCTCTGCAGAACAACTTCAGCATTGCCGTCACAGGATAGTCTGTCTTATCACAGAAATATTTAATCAGCACAGCTGTATTCAAAGTCCTCAAAATGAGACGGAAGGATGTGAAGTTTAAACGAAGTTCACAGCTGCAAAATGTTAGTACCCCTTGCTTGACCTTGTGGCTGGGCACACAGCGCCCCCTTTAACGTGTGCACAGAGCCTATGCGTGGTGAAGAGATTGTTTTGTTCCAGGTTGGACCATGACTTGGTGTGTTTTACACATCACCGCCAGCGGTAACAAACTGTGCGTTCCACCTGCCATAATCCATTCACATTGTTGCCTGGTATTCAGGAGGTATTCCATGTACATTAGATACTTTCTGAGGGAGTATGCATTTCACATGCATGAATGCAGACCTTACAACTTGCTTCAAATATGAATAGCCTGGAACAAGCATGCAGATAATTGTGCCGCTATTTTGTACAATTGGTGACAATTTCCTCAGCTGTGGTTTGATTAAGTGCTTGATTATATATTAAAAGGAACTTGGTGTGTGATTTGGTAAATCCATATTCACTAATATTGTCACTCTGTCATTGAAATGTCATGTCACAGTGCTTATTTCTCTGCTGAATCTTCACAGCTGTGCACAAAGGATACAATTCAACAGTTTCCAGAAGATGGAATGAGCAAAAAGTTTTCAAAGCTTTGCTACAAAAGTAAGCATTAAACTGTTTTGTTATTTACTTGATAACACCAATACGTATACTTTCCTAACACTAATTGCTAGATTTTACCACAGTATAAAGCGGTGGTGTTTTACACGCTCGTTGAATAAATTTTGTGTACAATTTTGAAAGAGAAAACTTCCACAAAGATTGTGGTTGCCTAAAATCTGGAAAAAGTAGGTGAAACGGTGTTTCTAATCCTTTCCTTCTATGTCATCTACCTTCAAGTTGGACTGCACCACTTAACTAGCATTTCACAAAGTACCACAAAAAAAAAGGAATGCTTGATAAGTAAAACTTGTAAGCGTCAAAATGATGTGTGCAGTGGGCTTGCAAACATTTGTGTAATTGCTGGTGCTGAGCTTACGTTGCATGACATTTGCAGTTAGCATGCTGGCAAGCATACAGCGTGCTTGCAGTGAATGTGCAAGAATGCGATCAAGGTGCGTGTCGCTTTCAAAGGGGGTTTTTTTTGGCCTCAACTATGATGCTATTTACAATTTCTTGAGTTGCATATCCTTTAAAGCAAAGCGTTCCATACCGTAATGTTTTGACAATGTTTATACAATTTTTGTAAACACATTTACCATTTATACAGTTAATTTGATTATTGCTGAAGTGAAAATGGGCCGGTATGGAGACTTTGTCACGGAGTAGGCATAGCTGAGTGGTCTGGAAATCAGCCAATGAGGAGTTGTGTTATAACCAGTCTGTCCCTTTACTACTCGTTCCGTTTTTGCAGAGGTAGCCTTTCCAGTCGGCTACATGGTAGGATGCGATCCCGATGCGTTGCACATCCAGGGGGTCAGAAGACGGGTCCTGCCATTCTAGGAATGGCTCCCCACCCCCTCTGCCGACTTTGATCAAGCCGCGGCCGCTGTTGTAGGTGATCCAGAATCGCTGGTACTTGGCGCCGCTGAGCAGCTTGGGAACCTTGACGGTGATGTAGTGGGGCTTACACTGGACTCCACACCTGATGAATGACTTACTCCGTGCCAGACCTGTGAGTGTGTATTGGTTTGCTTTGAGAGATCAGCTCAGCAGACTTTAACCATAACAGAGCTGAGTGGCACCACCACCTCAACTTTTTAAGGGGTTTCTAGTAGTTTTGCTATCATTCTGACACCATTTTAATGAAAAGCGATCATGGCATTCTTGCAAAATGCCCATTTTGTCCAGACAGCGAGGCTTTATGAATTATAATTGACCGTAAAAATGAACAAAACTTGGAGGCTTTCTCTGTAACTATACAGACAGACCCATGATGAAAGTCTTTACATGCCTGCCAAGATTCAAAGAGAGTACGCTTGGGACAGCCAGGGTCTTAGGGGGTTGATGTGACCACCACCCCCTCCCCTCCCCCAGCTGGGAAATGGTTCAAGAAAGCCCTGCTCTGTTAGGGTTTGAACATTCAGAAATTAGCCTGTGATTCAAATTGATGAGGTATAATCAGGAAAAAACAGTAGCTGAACAATTGTCTCCCAGAGGATTTAACTTTTTGAAGCTGAGAGTTTGTTTCACGACATGGTTGAGGGTAATACGACAGCCGCACTGTTCCGCATTTGCACTCTGGAATTTATTTAGAGATGGTCAAAAGGTCTTCATCCTTTTTTACCTTACCTATTTCGTAGACGTTCGAGATTGTATCACTGTCGGCTAGGGCAATGAAGACAGTGCCTGCCGACCGTACGGCAAAGTCAAACCGGATGAGCGTGGAGTCGTCAGCTCGATGGGCAATGGGGAAGGGAAACCTGTACTGGTAGGTGTTCTTCATGGCAGGGGTGGACAGCGACAGATTGCACCTTGCTGTAAGGCAGCATGAGAAAAAAAACATCCGTTTGTCTCTTCACTGTAATGGAATTTCTGATCAGGAACAGTGAACGGAGCCACGCGGCCTACTCCTGTGAGCCTAGTTTACCTAGCTCAGGTCAGACCAGATGCGAGACTCAACGCAAGATCATTTACTACAAAACTTTGCAAAGAAAGACAAGTCTTCAAGTGTGAGCAGTGGGTCACAGGAAGGCTCCTGCTGCAGTTCATTTGAATAGCTTGTGACTTGAACTCAAATTGGTAGACTTGTGATATTTCAACTTAGGAGGGTGATTGCTTTGGAGGGTCTCTAACCAACAAGACTGGCTGCGACCGGCAAAAATGAACACGTGTATGTAAGGCACCTGCTGCAGGGGATTCAGTGGATTTGTTCAGTCCTAGCAGTGTACAATACATATATTTGAGTGGGCGTGGCAGGCACAGCAATCGGATGTAGGGGTGGTGACCAACCCCAAGTAACAGGATGAGCTGTGCCTCCTCCAGTTAGAGAACGACTCCCAAGTACACTTGCCCCAAGGTGGGCTTTACCTTCCACGGTTACTGTAAACTGGCACGTGGAGGTGAGACCAACTGAATCGACAGCAGTGTACGTGACGTTGCTCTGGCCTGCCGGGAAGTCATCGCCGGGGTCCCAGTTGGACTCGAAGCTGACCAGGCGGCCATTGTCCGAGGCCACGGGCACACTCCACATGGCACGGCCGGTGGCCGACCGGGGGTCAATGGACACGGTCATGTCGCCGGGGCAATCTGTGATCTTTGGGCGAGTCCGATCTGGAACAAAATAGAGAGTCGTTAACAGTTACTGAGACTATGTCTTCTCGTGGAGAGAAAGCAGAGATGTCTCTGCAAAGCACTGCGCATATTCACTAGCTGTTTTCACAACTTGTGTTGTGACTTCACTAAGGTGCTTCAATGACAACCACGACTCTGGATACAAAGTAACAGGAAATGGATATGGGTTACTCAGTGATTTCTGTCTTCTGCTTTGACCTTTCTGTCCTTGTTACATTTGAAACAAAAAACTCCTCATTGCTTTGTTTCATCCCTGCCAGTACAGGTATTTGTATAAGGCACCATTTCAACATTCTTGTCAGGCAGGTGTCGGACAGAACGGTCCGACCAAGACATTTATTACTGGTTGGCTATCAGGTGAAGTGTTCTCAAGTGGCCAATTCTAACTGATAAATGCCTTTATGTTGCATTACTTCCAAGGCTATGTGGTTTCAGTGGAGCAACACCCCCTCCATTATTCACTCAACACAAGTCACTGTTATCATTTATTTATCGGTCGGAGGGCCCTGTCCTATAGTCAACCGATAGGAATTTTGAAATGATGCCTAAGGCAAATTATGTATGAACCTTTCAGACTGTTGGTTGAAATCTAGTCGTGCTTAGTCAAGATATAAAAGGGTATCAATGCATTAAACTCAACCGGTCACACTGTAACAGCCACATGAGAAAACAGTTGGGACCAATTACCGTTGAGTGGGACTGTAATAACAGGTGTGTACTACAACTTGGTTCAGTGTACCTTTGACAGTCACATAGAACCTGCAGGAAGCTGTATTCCCGGCTTTGTCAGAGGCGACATACTCGATGGGCGTGGCTTCCTCGAGGGGAAACACCCCAAAGATGGAGGTGGTGGTGATGTTGGGGTTGACCCTGGAATTGTCTATGGCGCGGGGGAAGGACCACGTGGGGTAGCCAAATTTGCCGTCAGCATTGGTCTCTTTCTCGATGTCCCGAGGGCAGTAACTGAAAACAGGGGCTTCCGTATCTGATATAATAATTGCAATATCGACATATCATGGCACTTATCTGGGAAACCAATCAAGGCAACATGTCATTGTCCCTGCTAATTGGGTCTATAAACCTTCCTAAAAAACATCTCAACTGCCTGAGAAGTGTACAGCTTGATCCTGCCATTTCAGGCGCAAAAGAAGCCGTCTCTGTCCTCACAGGTACCCATTTATACCCCTGGGTGGAGAGGGACAAGTGGGAGTAGAGTGGCTTGCCCAAGGTCACAGCATGTAAACAGCTGCTGGATTCCAACCCCTCGACCCTATGTTAGTGAGTCACAAACCCTAGCCACTGGGCCATATGCCTACACCAGGCAAGATATGGGACGGAGGGGTACCCCCCCTCACCTGTCCAATCCCTATACACACTCTAGACTATGGTTACCTAACACATCCCCCTAGAAGTCTGTAAAGAATTCCTGAGATTCCGATCAAACAATGACCAACACAAAGGTGGGGGGGGTCTCTCCGTCCCATATCTTGCTTCAAATGTATATGCCTCCTCCAGATTTGGAAGACAATAGCAACGGAAGTCATGTTGTACATGGTTTCATGTGTGTTCAAATCCAGAAAGTATATTTCTCTGCAAAAACCAAACTCGATTCCTATGTCAGATTTGCAGCGGTTGTTTTTTTGTTTTCCTTCCGATAGGTTTACCCCTTCACATAGCAACTTGTGCAACTTCAGGAGCTTTTGAAAAAATCTTGAGGATGGCTGTAAGTAACTGTCAAGTACTTCATTGTGGGGAGAGGAGACTTCTCGCACTACATGACAACGGGTATGAAACTCGTGAGTATTTAACCCACAAGATAATTTGAAAAGACGAATTCACAATTACTTGAATACTCCTGGAGTACAGTTTGTGATCTCTTTTCTGTAAGAAAAGGTATCTTTGAACCCATTCAACTCCAAGATGTGCCTTGATTTGTATTAAAAAAAAATTATTGAAAGAGAAGAAATCAGCTCAACGCTCTTACCTTCCACTGTCACTGTAAACCGACACCTGTCTCTCAGACCCGCTGCATCCTCGGCTGTATAGATAACTTTCGTCTGTCCTAGGGGGAAGCGTTCGCCAGGGCCAAAGTTGGATGTCAGTAACACGTGGCCGCTGTTGTCTTCGGCCGTGGGCGGCGTCCAGTCGACATGGGCGGTGGGCTGGCGCGGGTCAGTGGGCACTGTCACGTCCGGAGGGCAGTCACCGAGGACTGGTCGGGTACCGTCTGGTGAATAAATATCATTGCGACTTTTTTATTGTTGTAATGGAGCGGGAAGATTTCCCCTTCATTTTCTCGTTTCAAGCTTAACGAGAGGTGTGTGGGATATATAGATTACAGTACTTTTACCCTGCGGGATTTTAAAGGAATTCTTACCTGGTTAAACACCATTGATTTGCCCAAGATCATATTTCTTGTGGAATTAAAATTTTTTTTTTAACTTAAGACGGGCTTACCGGAGATGGTGACAAAAAATGCACAGGTGGCCATGTTGTTGAAAGTGTCTGTTGCCGTATATTCAACCAGAGTGGTTGTGCCCAGTTCAAATGGCGCAAAGTCAAACGCGGTGGTGACCTCTGCCTGGCCCACGTTGTCCACCGCGTGGGGCGTCTCCCAGACTGGCTGGTCAAACTGGCCCCTGCCATTCGAGGTCTCCTCCATGTCTGGTGGGCAGCTGGTGAATCTCGGCGGCTCCATGTCTGTTGTCCAGAATGATCACAGTGAAAAAATATTTTAGGATGGTGCTGCCACACTTATCATTCTGTGAAACCATTATTTGGGACACAGCCGTATTTATGCAAAAATACAGCACGGATGTACTGTCTGACAAGTATGGACCTTTTTCGCACCGATGAGCGGTAACAGAAAGGGGTACGCAGCACGATTATTTTGCATTCTAACTCAATATGGACACCCACTCGAAATCCGAAGGATTGACTATGCACAATATCAATAGCTCCTAGCAAGGTGAATCACAGGCGTGCAACGAGTAAACGCTCAACCAAGCCAGTCAGTCTGTGACATCATACCTAACGAAGCTGCTGAATGGCCAGAAGGTCTCATCACAAGGTCTGTGAGAAATTGCTCAGATTTTTAAACACAGAGATCTCATCAAGTGGTGTGCCTGCTCTTAGTGTAAAAAGTCCCATAGAAAAACCATATTTTTATTGCGTAGAATTTCGTTACAACTCGGAGAAGGAAGAAAAAAGGAGCCCCATAAATGTGACGAAGGCATCACACTGCGTCACATGGGGTCATACTGGCTGAAATCGCACCACAGAGTGCCTAGAATCCAAACTTTCCCGGGGCCCTTAAGCGGACCCCAGACCCCTTTACCGAGCCATCAGTTCTTCACGCTGTGCTCACTCTGGCATTATACTATTGCTGCTTTAGTTCATGCACCCCCTTTTGGAAAATCCTTGATCCGCCCCTGTACTTCTTTAACAAACAAAAGTTGTCACCAAAATGAAAGTTGGGATTCAAGGTAATGGTACAACATATTTCCACTCTCCTCTTTTTTCTGAAAACGTCTTATTGTTTGAGGATTGCCAAAGATTGTGAGGTTGGCAACAACACAATCAAATTTGCACTTTTGCGACTGCAAAAGTACCCTACCGCCCACTTTCCTGTTTGCCGGGCCACGCCCCTCACCAGTATGCTTACAATGCTGACGGGTTAATAAAACAGTTCAAAAACAAAGGATTATGCATCTCACCAACTACAGTGACCGTAAAATGGCACTTTGCTGTCAGGCCTGCGGGGTCAGTCGCGGTGAACGTCACCACAGAGCTCCCCAGTGGGAAGAGATCGCCGTTCTTCAAGTCGGACGTGAGGCTGACGTTCTTGCTGTTGTCGGAGGTGGTGGGCAGTGACCAGTTGACCCGGCGAGTGGAGGCGTGGAGGTCGGTGGACAGGGTGAGGTCTTCGGGGCAGTTCTGAATTTTGGGCGGGGTGCCATCTACATAAAAGTAGTAATATGAAGCAGATTAATGCCATACCCAACTTCTTGGATTTCCAATGCAAATCCTGATCTCCCCCTTCATGTTTTTAGAATTTGCATTGATCATGTGCTTTAATTTCACCAGTAATCAGGGGCGTAGCGACCAAGAGAGCGTTGATAGGGGGTGGTAACACCCCCCCCCAATAATTAATTCTAGTCAGCAAATAGAGCTTGGGTCAACAAATGAATCCGAAATTGGTCCATAAATGATGTATGTGGACCATCGCCGTTTCCCCTGAAGCCATGACTCTGGCACACCCCCCCCCCCAGAAAATGCCTTCGTTACGCCCCTGCCAGTAACAGCTGTAAAATTAACATGCTTCTGTCTCTGAGAGATAGTCTCTGAGAGATGCACCCCTCTGTGCATAGAAAAGAAAGTCGTTCTCGTTAAATGGTCAAGGCGTTCATTGTCTTATCAACTTTACCTGTAATCAAAACATAGAAGAGGCACGTCGCATTGTTACCAGAAGGGTCGGTGGCTGTGTACACGATGGGCGTGCGCACATTCAGCTCAAACTTCTGAAACCGGTAATTTGTGGTGGTCTCCAGCGGGTCACCTGAATTGTCCACGGCCTGCGGGGTGCGCCAGAACGGGTAAGCGTATCTCCCAGTGACGTCAGTCGTCCGTAAAATGTCCGTTGGACAGTGGGTGAAAACGGGAGCTTCCTTGTCTGCAAGAAAGGGGCGACAAGTACTACATGTAGGTCGCTCAAGTGTGGATTCAAAGAATGGAAGGAGAATACCGTTGGGAAACAGGAATTCGAAGGGGGGACTCTGCCAATTAGGAGTTTGGATTCAGGACTCGAAATTACTTTTGCACTATAACTTGGCTGATTGAGGAGAGTTTAACTTGATGTTGACCCCCATCGGGATTGACAGTGGAAGGGAACTGAGTCCAATACAAGGCAGGACTAACTCTGTAATTCACGTGGTCAGGTTGAAACCAGGCCTGGGAAAATTTGAGAAACGTTACGACCAATGTAGTCCTGGTTGTAACAGGCTCTTCCAATTCTTGTTCCGTTACTCCAGATATTTCTCTGTTGTTTGCTAACGAGGCTGTCCGTGAACACAATATTGAGAATGGTGGTGTGGTCCAGTTAGGATGAGAAGATTGAGCTCACCATCACTTGAAGGAAGCTGGTTCTGTCTTACCTAGAACAGTGACAGTGAAACGACAGTTGGTTGTCAATCCAGCATTGTCGACTGCGGTGTATGTCACCCTCGTTCTGCCGATGCGGAATAGGTCACCAGATCTCACATTGGATGTCATGGTAACATGCATCCCATTGTCCGTTGCCTTGGGCATGGTCCAGTTGCCCCACCCAGTCGGAGACTGTGGGTCAGCGACGACTGTGACGTCATCAGGGCAGTTGCTGATAACAGGTGGCGTCTCATCTAAGACACACATAAAATGCCATGTAAACAGATTTCAGGGTAAAAATCAAGACTACGTCTTGATTCCCAGGCAAAATTCTCCCATGAATTATGACACCAAGATTAACCCAGGTTAATAGATGACTACAGCCTCCAAATATTAGACTGTTTATCTCTGGTTTGGTCCTTGAGTTGTGCACAACTTGCTGACTCATTTGCCAAATCTATTCGCTGCAATGTCTTCCTCTAGTTACACTGAAGGTTTGGTCTTCTATGACAAATCACCGAATATTAAGCTTAAGAAGCTGCATACACAACTAACTCTGTTTTTATTTTAATAGACAGCAGTCGCTCTCTTACTTCCTCACCTACCGGAAAAAATGGGGACCACATCATCTCTGATTAATAACTCAGTGCCCTGTGCAGCGGAGGGTTAAAACAGCTGGTGGGCGAGAAATGTTGTAGGGTTAGGGTTAAGAGGAAGCTGGCCTTAAAATGTGAAAAATACAGAGACTGACACAGGTTTTTATTTAAAAAGATACCTTTCAGTGCAGGTTGTACAACAATCAGATATAGAGGCAGGGGTTTGAAGTTGAAATTACACAAGAGAACTCCCCTGGATCGATATGTAAATTGGTCAGCAAGAAAAATTCTTGCCACGGCACTGGGGTGCTGATAAGTCTTGCTAATTTAACGAAGGGCTTTGACCTTCAACCTCATGAGTTAATTGAAGGCGTCATCCCCTTTCAGCCACCACACCCCATCCAATACGATGCTTACCTACAACTGTGACATAGAATAGGCAGGTTGCGTTGTTGCCAAATGCATCCGTGGCCGTGTACTGGATGGGCTTTTTCACCTCAAGCTCAAACTCTCCGAACTCGTGTGCCGGCGTGACTTGCGGCACCCCCGTGTTGTCAGTTGCCACAGGAACCGGCCAGGTGGGAGGGTCAAAACTGCCGTCGGGATTAGTACCCTTCTCAATGTTTGGTGGACACAGTGTGAATCTGGGTGCTTCTAAATCTGTAGGAATGGTTTGTTAGTAGTTGACAAAGATTATAACCATTTATCGAAAGTAAAAAATAAAGTTTAAAAATACTGATCGACTTCCTGGCCAGTCAGGCTTGTCAAATATATGAAAAGAACTTGGAGGTGTTCATTTGAACGAGAGTGGAAGGAAAATGAACAATTTTAATCTGAAATAACGGGAACATGTGAAATTGATAAATCCATACTCACTTGTTCATTTCTACTCTATTTAATAAACAGTTCCAACTTCAAAGTTATTTCAGTGAATCCTCACTGAAATCCAGTGGCATAGCTAGGATTTTACTTGGGGGGGCACAAAGGGGCATCAGCATCTTATGGGGGGGTGCCAGCTTTCAGTGGTGTGACTTTTGGGGGCAAGTTTTTGTTAGTTTTGTTCAACATCCATTCATCCATGTTTTCAGTGGGGGGGGTGCACTGGGAATTTGTGGGGGGGGGGAACATGCCCCCAGCCCCCCCCACCCCGTGGCTACACCACTGCTGAAATCTTGACGTGTTCCAGTGGGTAGATTTCACTCAAAATTTGTCTTGTCCCTTCAAGTTTCTATTGGACGGAGAGAATTTTGACTTTTGTAAATTTACAGAGAAACTGATAAATCCAGAAGTCCATACCCATGGCTCTCTGTGCTTTGCTCTATCAATGGGTTCAACTTCAAAATTAAATGTTGTAATAAATACCTCTTATGGTAACGTTAAAGCTGCAATCAGTGATAAATCCTGCTGAATCCACGGCCGTGTACACAACTTCTGTTGTTCCGAGTGGGAAAATATTACCGGGCAGCAGATTTGCGTGAAAGGCCACCAGTTCCCCATGATCCCATGCAGTGGGTGGGTTCCAGAAGACATGAGCTGTGGGCATTCCTCGGTCAGTTGGCTGGGTGATATCGGACGGGCAGTCATATATGGTTGGCGGAGAGCCATCTGGACAGATCCGGGACGGGAGAAAAATGGCAAATGAACCAATGACACCTTGTTTTTGTAATTTAATTGATCAATTCCTTTTCGACAGTCTTTTCCTTTTGCAAGACTGATGTAAGTCAGGTTGGAAAATGGCAACGCCCTGAAACCCAATCCACTTCCCAAACACAGTCACATGATTTGCCCTTTAATAGAGAAACTGCCACAATCATGCCAGCAAGAGAACACTTGCATTTGACTAATCTGATTGGTCAATAGTTTTTCTTCAGCTGTGGATGAACAAATGGAGGAGTGTAGTTTGTACATTAATTTGTGGTTTACATTCTGACTGTTTACTTGTGAATATATAAATGGCAAACCACATGACCCATGGTATTTTTAAGAGCTAAAATTTGTTTCTGTGTTTAAGGGATCACATGTTCTCACATGAAAACTTTAATGAATATACTCAGTTGTACAAAGGGCTTGCACCTGTTGATTTGTTTATAGACATACAACGGGCAGAAGCAGGCAATAAGTCAGTTTGATTTGGGAGACAAATGTTGAGTTCATGTTCGTGAAAATGTTAAGAAATAAGTGTGTGGCAATGCAGGACTAACAATGTACTTCATGTGATGGGATTGGAACTCTGCTTTGGAAAGTGGAGAAAATTGCAGCTGGTTGCAACAGGTCTTTTCAAATCTTGTTCCATCATTTCAAATATTTGTAGTTTTTGAGCCAGGCTGTCAACAAACAAGATATTGAGAATGTTGGTGTTTTTCACTTGCCCTGAGCAGTTAGGATGAGAAGTTGCAATATCTTTAGAAGGAAGCCGATTCTGTCTCACCTAGAACAGTGACAGTGAAATGACAGTTAGTTGTCAATCCAGCACTGTCGACTGCGGTGTATGTCACCCTTATTTGGCCAATGTGGAATAGGTCCCCAGGTCTTGCCATGGACGTCAAAGTGACGTGCACCCCATTGTCGGTCGCTGTGGGTGTGGTCCAGTTGCCCCGCCCGGTTGGAGAGTCGGGGTCAGCAGTGACTGTAATGTTTTCAGGGCAGTTTCTAATCACAGGAGGTGTCTCATCTAAGACCAACAAAAAGTTACATAAAAGAACGAGGGGAAAATATATGGTAACATTTCATTTCCAGGTAGGTCTTCCCTTCTATTTCTCTGAAATACACATAGAGGGTTTGCATGGCTGCCATCTTGAAGGTCAGTGCTTTTCTACCACAGGGCATGCACAAAGGAGGTTTCCCTGTGGAATAAAGGAACTGCCCTGCAAGGTGGCCACCGCGCAAAGCCTCAATTGCCATTGGCATATTAGGGAGGGGGGTGGTGGTGACGTGCCCCAGTGGAAGTCCGTGCCCACTATGGCTCCCCACTTGAAATGTTGCAATGTCTGCAACCTGCAAGCGAGCCTTTATTCATTTGCTTGAAGTGTCCCCCTACCCGTCCCTACCACCCCTCAGAAATTTCATCCTAGTTTAAAGGTACTACTTATCTTCCCCAACCCTTTGGGTTATTGAAGCGTCCCCTTTAGCTGCCACTGTACCCCACCACAGCATTTCATCTGCGTTTCATCTGGGACTGTGCCCGTCCCTTCCCGGGCACAGTTTTTAGAAAATAGTCCTCTCGCAGGAAATTTGAAACAAGTCACCTGGCCACTAGGTGCCATCTGAAGCCATGTGTCCACTCCACCCAGTATCTTTGGAGTTAATGTGAGGACTTGTCCACCGGCTTGTAAAATTTTGAACATACACTGATTGCCCAAATATGTTTTTGCCTGTCCTCAGAACGGGTAGACCTGTTGCTAGATGAACCAAAATCCAATATGGTCTTACCTACGACTGTGACAAAAAACCGACAGGTTGCGTTATTGCCCGATGCATCCGTAGCAGTGTATTGTATGGGCGTCTTCACCTCCAGCTCAAACTCTCCAAATTCATAGGTTGGTGTGACTTGTGGTACCGCAGCGTTGTCGGTTGCCACGGGAACTGGCCAGGTGGGAGGGTCAAAACTGCCATCAGGATTAGTACCCTTCTCGATGTTGGACGGGCACACAGTGAATTTGGGTGATTCGAGATCTGTAGGAATGATGAGCTCCCAGAACTTCAAAAGTGGACAATGGTCAAACAAGTTTCATGTAAAATACTATTTGACCTTCTAGCCACCCAGGCTTAACATATATATACAAAGAATATGAAGATGTTCATATGAATGAGTATGGAAGAAAACTCTACCGTATTTGATATGAAATAAATGGATAAACTCGTACCATTTTATTTGTACACTACATGTGTGAAAAATAGCTCAGCTTCAAAGTTCAAGTTTTGTGATAAATACCTATAACTGTAACATTGAAACTGCATTCATTGGCCAATCCAGCTAAATCCACGGCCTTGTACACAACTTCTGTCATTCCCAGTGGGAAAATATCATCAGGCTGGTGGTTGGAGCCGAATGCCTCAAGGTCCCCATTATCCCATGCTGTAGGTGGGTTCCACACGACTTGAGCGGTGGCCACGCCTCGGTCAGTTGGCTGTGTGATATCTGATGGGCAGTCGTGTATTGTTGGCGGAGAGCTGTCTGTAGTGAAAAACGAAAAAGGAGAAAACAGCTGCCCAATTAGCACCTTTGTTTTTTTTACAATTTAATTGATCAAGGTTTGTTCTACAGTCTTTTTCTTTTGCTTTAGTGATATGCATCTGGTTGAAAATGGCACTGCCCTGGAACCTTTTCCACTTTCAAAAAACAATCAGAAGATCTTCCTTTTTATTCAGTCACACTGAATAGAGATGTTTTCTTTTTCTAACAGAACTACTAACGTAATTCACGTGACTTAATCGGAACCTGGCTTTGGAAATTTGAGAAAATTGGAACCAGTGCTTCACTGTTTCAAAAGGTTGTTCCGTCACTCCAGATTTGTAGTTTTTTAACAAGGCTGTCAATAAACACAATACTGAGGTCCGGCTGCCTCCCCCAGTTAAGGTGAGACTGAATAGCAATATTTTTTGAAGAAGGCCAATTCTGACTTACCTAGAACGGTGACAGTGAAACGACAGTTGGTTGTCAATCCAGCACTGTCGACTGCGGTGTATGTCACCCTTGTTCTACCGATGCGGAATGCGTGGCCAGGTCTCACATTGGAAGTCAGTGTGACATGCAACCCATTGTCCGTTGCCGTGGGTGTGGTCCAGTTACCCCGCCCAGTCGGGGAGTGGGAATCTGCAGTGACTGTGATGTCTTCAGGGCAGTTGCTGATTACAGGTGGTGTCTCATCTAAGACACACATAAAATGCCATATAAGAGGAGGGAAGATAAGGGTTAGCATCCTAACTTCCAGCTAACCAGGAATTCTTTGCTGTGGGCATTGAATGACGTGTATATCTTTCTAGTGGCACCCAGGGGGGTGCCCCACCCCTGTGTGTCCCCCCGCCGTTTGAAGATGTGAAATATACCTGTGAGCAAGCTGCCTTTAGTGTCCCACTGCAAAAATATGTGCTCACCCCCCGAATTGTCCCTCAGAAATTTCAACCAAGTTAACACACTACTGCAATTTCCCCAGCTCTGTGAATTAATTAATGCTTTCCCCTTTAAGGCTCGACACCCCTCATCCCATCCAAGGTGGCCCTTACCTGCAACTGTGACAAAAAACAGGCAGGTTGCCGTGTTGCCAGATGCATCTGTGGCCGTGTATTGTACAGGCATCTTTACCTCCAGCTCAAACTCTCCAAGTTTGTAGGTTGGTGTGACTTGTGGTACTCCAGCATTGTCGGTTGCCATGGGAACCGGCCAGGTGGGAGGGTCAAAACTGCCATCTTGTTTTGTACTCTTTTCAATGTTTGATGGACAGAGAGTGAATTTGGGTGCTTCTAGATCTGTAGGAATGATTGGTTCAGAGAATGTGAGAGGAAGACAAGTCTCTTGGTCAGACGCTGTTCGACCTATTGGATAATCCCTCCATTCAATTTGTACGGGGAATTACTTGTTTTGTTCGTTTTTACACCAATAAAATAAATACAATGGAGGGGTTACAACGTGGGAGATATTTACACTACAAACAACGATGAAATTTGAATTTTGAAATATCTACTATAAAAGATGTAGTGTTTGGACAATAATTCAATTTTTAATTTTAATAATTTTCCCCACTGACCACAACACTATTTATGCCCCTTTGAGTCAAGAGGGAGCAATAAAAGACAGCCACAACTGACCAGTCAGAGACAAGGAACAAGACCCAGCCACCTAATGCCAACCAAGAGAATTATGACCATATATCGAACGTGTTGGTTGAGGTTTATTTTATACCGATCAACTTTTTAACCTGACAGACTTGACAAAACCTGTGGAAAGAATATGGAAATGTTCATTTGACCGAGTGTAGATAGTTAATTTGACATTAACTTTCTTAAATCCAAAGAGTGAAAGTGGCGACTAGATTGAAACAAATTTTGAAAAAGAACATCCTCATGTAGAATCTCAAGTGAAATCTCGACAAATTCGATGGATTGAATTCCACTTGAAATTTTTCATGTGCCCCTAGTTTCGGAAAGAGTTCCATGTACGGGCGCCACTTGACAGCCTGTGCAAGAAACCCTATGGGACTGGTCTGAAAATTTGTTCTAGGTAAACGGCTTGGTTTTTCCCTCCTAAATTGAACTTTTCTGGACAAGTTTTTGCTTTCTGACGGCTAATAGGTCTCTGTAGGGAATAATTACTGGCGTCCGTATATGGAACTCTTCCCTAGTTTCTATTTTAGGGAATGAAATTTCGGTCTTTTAAATTTGAAGCGAAGAGAACTAATTATTTAGAAACTAGTAAATCCTAAAATGCCAGCCCAACTTTAACGTTATTTGTGCTGTGCTTGATCAATGGTTCAACTTCAAATTTCAGTACTGTAGTAAGGCCTAAATACCTATAATTGTAACATTAAAGCTGCAATCAGTGGTAAATCCCGCTGAATCCACGGCCGTGTACACAACTTCTGTCGTTCCCAGAGGGAAAATATCACCAGGCAGGTGGCTGGAGCGGAATGCCTCAAGGTCCCCGTTATCCTGTGCTGTGGGCGGGTTCCACACGACTTGAGCGGTGGCCAATCTTAGGTCGGTTGGCTGTGTGATATCTGATGGGCAGCTACGTATAGTTGGCGGGGTGCCATCTGGAATGATTCGGGAAAGAAAAAAATGACAAAGAGAAAGCAAACACACCATTGTAACCTTTGTATTCGTAATTTTATCAATCGATATTTGTCCTGCATTCACATCTGTTTGCATAATGCAGCGTCCTAGAAGCTTGATTTACTTTTGAAAAGCAATCAGACGATATGTCCTTTCACGAGGAACAGGTGCGTTTGCTTACTCTGATTGGTCAGTTGTTGTTTCGTGATGGTGGATGAACACATAAAAGTGCGTGATAAGGTCAACAATAAAGTAGTTTCCACTTGAGCAATCAGTTACTTATTTATTTTCGGTTTACATTGAGAATGTATGTTTAAGAATATGTTAACGACGAACCAAATGAAATTTCAGTTTGACGGTTTAACCCCTCTACTTGCAGTTTGGAAATATGCAATTACACGAAAACGCGGATGAATATACATGTACTCAGATGTTCAATAGTTCCTAGAGCTGTGAATCTGTTTAGTTTGTTTATAAGCATATATTCAGATGATGCAGGGAACCAGTCTTTTCGGAAATGTTGGGGATACTCTTGAATGTGGGGTTCACGGTAAGTTGGAAATCGAGAATTGAGGAAAATTCAGGCGCGAATTCAACAACTGTCTGACTCAGGGTTGCTGCATTCTTATCCCTAGTAAGACTGAGATCCCCTGGAATGCAGACGAATGAAAGGAACACAGGGACTTGTTCAAATAGAAGAAAAATGACAGAAAACTCAGAGAAGACACGTGGAGTGTTGTTGCTGTGCAACATGAATTTGACCATGTTGCGGAATTAGCATTATTTTATGTGCCACATCAAGAACCCAGGACTGGAGGATCTTTTCTTAGGTATGTATAATGTTTTTGGTTGCTTGTTCTTAAGTAGCTCAAAATTAAATTGAAATATAGTAACTACAAAATTTAAATAGTTCCCTTAGAATACTTGCTCAACTGAAGTTGAATTGTAATTCAATTGCGTTTTTATTTCAAACACTCGTGAAGAAAAATATTGATGTATCACATGTTCTTCATTTTCGTGCTGCGTGTTCAGGGTATTTCCAAATTCGCCGAAAATATGTCGCACCCTGTTACTCATAGCAGCACTTGACGTTTCATGTTTAGACACATGGGCTCCATGTACGTCCTGTTCTTCGGGGAAAATTTTCAAGTACATTTTGTCTGGTTATAATTCGTTTTGAACACATAGTAACGGAAAGGAAGTAAGAAAGCCGACGATAACAACTGAATTATAATTTAAGCTCCTGCTGGGCTGTTTCCCGTAAGACTATATATCTGACCGTGGAGCCATTAAAAATAGCTCCTTGACAAACAACGTTCACTTGCATGGTGGGCCTACAAAAAAAAGGCCCACGTGCGCTTAAAGCTGTATAAAAAACAGGGCTTTTTGTGATAAACAAAGACCCTTTCACAAGCTTCGTGTACTGTATAAGAAGCCATTCGAATAGCCGGAGATTACCAGAGGTGGATTCAGAACCAAGCTTTCTGAAAGGACAACAAAGTATGAGGGAACTCCTGTATGAAACTTTTGGAAAGAGTTCCATTTATAAGGACGCCAGTAATTATTCCCTACAGTGACCTATTAGCCGTCAGAAAGCAAAAACATGTCTAGACATGTTCAGTTTAGGAGGAAAAATACCAAGTCGTTTACTTAGAAAACGAAAGTTTTTAGACCAGTCTCATAGGGTTTGTACACAGGGTGTCGAGCGGCTTCCTTATATGGAGCTCTCTCCTAACTTTTATAGCCATTCTGGAGAGTGCAGGCAATTTTCCCTGGCTGTTGAAGTAAGTGAAATGAATACAACCGCAGCACCCCCTCCTTCCCCGTCCGCCATTGAACTTCACAAGTGGAGCCTGTCTTTCAAGTTTCCACCCAACCATGCACTGGTCCAAAGAGTTCTTATTAGGTCAACTTGCCTTCCACAGTCACGTAAAAACTGCATGTTGCTCTGTTGCCGGAGGCATCCGTAGCCACGTACAATATCCGAGTAGGCTGACCGATTCGGAACTCTTCTTCGCCGTGATTTGTGGAAATAAGAGCGGGTCCAGAGCTGTCCGTTGCCTGAGGGGTCTGCCACATCGGCGCTTCAAACGAACCCTGCCTGTCCGTTACAGTCGTTATGTTTTGTGGGCAGTTGATGAAAACTGGACCTTCCGTATCTTTCAAACAGACAATATTAAAGGTTGCGTGGTGAAGGCCTGTGCATTTAGTTCAACTTAAAGTGCCCCATATCGCGGGGGTTTCTGGGCACGAAGGCGTAGCCAGGGGGGGGGAGGATGTCCCCCACAAATCCCTGGTGCCCCCAAGGTGCCTCACCCCCCAGGAAAAAAAAACTATGAATGGATATTAAACGAGGCTAGCAAAAGCTTCCCCCCCCCCAAAAAAAAAAACACCACTAAAAGCTGGTGTTCCTATAAGACGGTGGTTTCCCATTGACCCTTGCCCCCCATTAGTAAAATCCTAGCTACGTCACTGTTTCTGGGGTAGACATTTTGATCAAAATATGCTTGCTCGTCAACCGGGGGGGGCCGGGGCACGTGCCCCCCCCCCATTCCCGGTGGCCCCCCCTGAAAAAAAATGGAGGAATGGATATTGAACAAATCTAACAAAAACTTGCCCCCCCCCAAAAAAAAAAAACACCACTGAAAGCTGGTGCCCCATATAAGATGCTGGTGCCCCCACCAGTGAAATTCTCGCTACCGGTACGCCACTGTTGCTCGTGTTTCATTTCACAACACACTTGCCTTGGGCTCAGTAGTGTAAAAGGGGTTTGGGGGTATGGGACCGGAAAGGGACTCGCTCGATACCTGATATGCCCCAGTGTCCTTCCGCGCTCAAAGGCTCGAGGGAAAAGAAATTTGTACCGTCTGATTCTGCGACAAAACCAAACCCGCTCAGTGACAGCAATAGAAACGAGATCACCTAAGTGCCCTTCTGTGCCCATTCTAGCTATAAATATCGCACTGACAGATTGGCTACATTAGTCTCCGGTCGACAGTTAGGCTTATCTTGTTGCACGGTAATATTACTTGGGGAAAACGTGAACCACGGAATTGTGTGCGATGCAGTTAACCTGCTACACAACAGGATTCGTTCAATATTAGACATGTGGTACAATTTGTGAGGTTGTAACAATAGTTCCGGGGTTGGGACATCAACACTTTGAAAGAAAATTCTCGGCGTTTAGGCAGGTGGAAAACGATCCTCTTCAAAGTGCTTACCCTTTGGATGAGCTGCTGCGTGTTGACCCCCAAAAGGACCTTATACATGGCGTATCCTGGGGGAGTCCCCCCCCATGGATTTACTGTTACTTTTTTAGCACAGAATACTTCAAAGGTGAGTAGGGTAGAAAGAAATCGGTAAATTTATTTATCAAATATTAGCACCAAAACCCTAAGAATACAAGACTATCCAGTAAAAGCTAGGATGTCGGGACCATGAGTATTTTTTCTCCAATATCATGTTAAAATGAGCCCGAAGCTGCATTCGCTTTTAAATTTGCCCCCCCCCGGCACCAAAAGCTGGACACGCCGCTGGCTGTATGAATGCAAAAAAGTCAGCTTCACCATTTATTACAACTGTTATAATTTTTTTACTTTAAAATTGGTCCTCTGTCAAGGCACCAGTGAGAAATCCTCACCTCTGACAGTTACAGTGAAGCTGCATTCAGTTTTCAGTCCAACCGAATCCTCGGCCACATAAGTGACCCTCGTCCGACCCAGTGGGAAGGTATCTCCAGGTACCCAGTCTGATTCGAGACTGACTAACTGGTCGTTGTCCGCTGCTGTTGGTACCGTCCACTGGGGTCGGTCCGTGGTCTCAGTGAGGTCGCCTGGGCAGTTTAGAATGGATGGCGGCGTTCCATCTATATGTTGGATATACAAAATGAAATATTCTGTCTGTTAAGAATCTACAAATCCATAAGTCAAAAATATTGGCTCAAAATAAACAAATGTATGGTTTTGTCAACAATTATACATTTTCAAATTGCGTGACTTGTCAACATGCGAGCTTCTGCTTTGAATACGATGTCACGATTTCGTGAGCCTACAATTTGCGTTTGTTAACTCTATAAAATAGGATTACCTCCTTTTTTGAAACGCCCAATATAATTACAGTAATAACATACGATAGAGTCTTCAAAACAGTTTCGTTCATCTAAAGGCAGTGTGAACACAAGACATACAAGCACATGCGCAAGTCATCAATCATTCTTAAAGAAACTATGTTCCCGGAAAAAAACTATGCCTCGAAAGGAGGCCACGGCAGCAGAGGGTTTAGGGGTATACGCCTCTTTCCCCCGGAAGCTTTGCAGTTCTGCAATGTAACATATCACATTTCTCATACACCGCCAGAATTAAATTGACTGGGAAAAAAACGGAACTCAGACAGCGCTGCAGGGATTTCTGTGGGAAGCCTGAACCTGTCAATCCTACTCTGGCACGTTCGAATACTTCCTGTTTTTCGGTCAAGCCAGTTAAAGCAAAAATATGTTCAGTTTCGTTCGCCTCTTAACTCGAGATGAATGTGAAAACGATTTGCCAACATCATGCGCTGTGTTTTGTTAACGGTCAGCCTACCTCGACCAGCTGAAACTCAGGCAAAATTTGATCGTTTGGGGAAAAACACCTTTACCCATAAGAACGAGAGTAGTGAATTTGTTTGACTCACCAGTCGACACAATAACGTAATCAACAACTCATTCTCTGTTCATGGTGTCCTCAACCTTTTGCTTTCGCTCCATTCAGACATTTTAGTACAATTTACTTGATGAAAACCTCAATCTCTTTACCTATGATTGTCACTTCAAACACACATCTTGCAACATTTCCGGCCGCATCAGTGGCCGTGTAGCGGATCACTGTGGTACCGATGTCGAACCTTTCGCTCCCGCGGTAGTTGGTAGTGACTTTCGGCGGGCCGGCGTTGTCGGCCGCCTTCGGCAGATCCCACGTCGGTCTTTGGAAATCGCCGTCACTTGCATCAGTGACAATCTTGATATTTTGGGGGCAGCTCACAAACAGTGGTCTCTCTTTGTCTAGTAAAGATGATTAAAAATGCAAAGACGTGCTTCACAGCAAATGATATTGAAACTTAACGCTTTTCCTGAATTTAGAGAGGGCGTGACTTTTTCTATTTTGCATCTTGTGCAGTGTACGTTGGGGGGGTGTCAACAGTATTATATATGTAGGCCCATACCTTTAATAATTAAGTCGGGCGTATCCCATCTGATATAGTTATAGAGAAGTCTTGTTTACGAGTGGTCGAATTTCAGTTTATTAATCTGTTGAATTTGTCATAGATCAACAACATAAAAAAAAAGGAATTCTGACATGTGTCCCACCTCTCACTTTCACATTAAAAGAGCAGGTCTCTTGACTTTTCTCCGGGTCTGTCACGGTGTAAACTACTTCATGATCGCCAATTTCAAAGGATGTGTTTGACTCGTGGTTACTCTGGAACGTGACGACCTCGGTCGTGTTGGCGTTTCCCTGAAGTACCGGTTTCTTCCACGATACCACGGCGAACTGTTTGCCCGGCTCTGTTCTTGTCACGATGTCTCCCGGACATTTCAGATTTAGATTCAGGGCTGTCAGTATAGAGTGCAGAAGAAATGTGCAGTAAACCCGCATTTCCTTTGTTTCTGTAGGAAGTGCTCTAAATCTAACACTTCCTTCAACATTCATCAGAAGATTTCAGAGGACTTAGCAGTAGTGAGGAACACATTGATGTCCCCTTGGAAAGTCGAAGAATGTTCTAAATTTTGTTCTTGCGCAGTGTTGGATTGTGAAGGACTTAAGGAGTTTCCTGCCAAACTACTGTAACAAAACATTTGTTTTTACAAACTTCCACTTGTAATGTTACGATGGTTAATCAAGGTGGAACAGGAATTAGCTTAACAATCACGAGGCTTACCAGCAACTGTTACCATTTCTTCTTTTGCATCTGTGAAATAAATGTATAATTCGTTATAGAACCTGAAAATATTGTAAAATTAAAAATGGTTGGTTTAAAATTCATACAGCGCAGAGCAAAAGATTACAATTTGGCAGGCTGATCAGCTTTCCTCTCTCTCTTTCCCTTTCCTTTTTATACATCAGTAATTTCATTTATATGTTATTTCGGAGAAAAAGTTTTCATCATTCAAAATTGGCAGCGATTTATTTGATGTAAGCCAATGTAAAGTTTTAAAAAGTCATATCCTCGAAGTTTTAGTTACTCTGTCACTTTTGCATAACCGCCGTTGTAAGTACATCATAAGTCATTTTTAATGCGAAGATTTGTAAAATTTAAATAAACAGCTAGAACACTTGGAAATAAAGTATTCTCGCATTTCTCGCTAGATTGTCACGGTTTCTCCTATAGCTAATAGAGGATACACACAAAATTTACCCAAATGAGTTACTGCTAGAAGTATACCGCCAACCAGTGCTGCACCGATTACCAGCATGATCATCGTCATCCCACACGCTATGAGAATCCGGCTGCAAGACTTCTCCGTCAAGTCTACGGCGTGCTTGCTGTCATCCCGGCTTTTGTAATTAGAATGGAACTGGGCAGGCGGTCGCCCGTGCATTGCGAGAATCTTTTCGCTCACGATGTCTGAGAGATAGCTATAGGTTAAAGCAAGATCAAAACTTCTTGCATCAACTATCCTGGAATATTCTCTCTCTCTTTAAATTTCTTAGTCTTTACTTCTTAATGTTATTTCTTTATAGGCTAATCTGATAAGACGCCCTAACTGCGGTGGCACTGCACTCACGCACACATTCTTCAGCTTGACGCGTGCGTGTTTGGCAAATCACGACACACTATAGGTCGAAGAGGCATGTAACGCGTGCGTACCACCTGTCCACGAGAGTTATGCCACTGCAGTAATGGCTTCCAATTCTGCTAGTCGAATTACACTAAATACACTCATTATAAACACTTTATCTTCATTAAGTGTTTAGTTGTTGATTTCTTTTAATCTTGTTTTGTTTGATTTTAATTCTTTTGTACCTTTCATTTTCCCGTTAAATTTGTACCGAGATAATGTTTCATTATAATCCAGTGTTCATTGTGGTGGTTGGATTCCGCTCCTGTACTTGGTATAGTTTTTCTGAAGTTGGATATGGTTGATAATTTTAAACAGGTATGTGAGTACCATTTGCGTTGTGCATTCCTCTCAGAGGGCGTTACATGTGACTAGTTTTGAACGACAGTCACTGATACAGTTGTAGACGTCCCCCAACCTGCCGGGCGTAAACGTGCCCCAGACGGTACCGAATTTAAGTGTATAGGAGCCGTAGCATTATTAAGTCGGGGGAGGGTTCTAAAATGCGAACGGTTTTCGGAATCCTCCCACAAAAAATATGCCAGCAGTGTTAGCACATTCTCTTCCTAAAAATATGACAACTTGTCTGCGGGAAGGGGGAAACAAGTTTCCCCCTTCCCGTTGGGTACGCCACTAGCCTGTGTTGTAGTCGAGACCATCACAAGACCAGAAACAGATAACAGTGAGAACAATGACAAAGGAATGCTTTTGTTGCAGTTCATTTGAATAACTTGTGACTCGAATTCAGACTAGAGGTCTTGTGCTGGTCTTTAATGGTATCGACTACAACGCTGTCACTAGCGGGGAGTCTACTCCCAAACTTAACGACAAGTACTCGAATAACGAAGAATTTGCGTTGCAATCATATTACCAATAATGCTGACAAAAAGGACAAAAACATACCTTTTAATTTGTGCACCTTTTTCTACAATTTGGTGAACTTGGTTTGATTGCGGGGACCTTGGCCTCTGTTAATGGTAAACAGAAATAAAACCTGACAGATTTTACGCTGGGACGGAAGTAATGGCTGTAAAATTATATTCAAACAGAAACAGTAATTAGAACAACAAAACTACCGTGGTTTGACCACATCATGCTTTTCCATCAAACACACTTCTACCTTAGTACGTGGGTACGATCCATCTAAAAAAAAACTCACCAGTCATTTTGGTTTTTATCCGTACATATATTCTATTTCAAAGAGCAACCGCGGTTATGAAACCCGAAATTAATTATTAGAAGAGAAAACCAGACTTGCTGTATATCTTATTGCATTCAATAACAATTTCAAATTTATGCATGCCGGCTGTTGGCATACGTGTTCCAGCAAACATGAAAATGAGCAGCTTAGACGTTGGTGTAACGAAGTCCGTCGCTTTACTGCATGTATATCCTAAGTATTTTGTACAGGTAAAATATACGCAGTCAAGTATGCAAATGCGTTGATATCAACGGATTAACGGAGGAAGAGAACAGACAGAAAAACCTTACCCCGAATCTGCGTACAGCTCCGTTCTCTAACATCACAAGTGGCATTCTAATTACGGATTGTGGCCGACCTTTTTATTTAAGCATTATTTTTTCATATCCATTTGGAGCTTTGGGGTACCCATTTGAGCATAACATTCTTCACAATTCTACACTGCAAAAAATGTGGTGTTGAATTGGCGTTAGTTTAACACCCTTGGTATTGAATTACTCTGAAACAGACCAGGTGTTTTCCTATGATAACACCAATGGTGTTAACACAGAAAATGTTTGCAGTGTGTATCATTGGCACCTCAGTAATTTCCCCATCATTCTGGAGATCGTTATCCATGAATTTTAACCATTTGATATTGTAAACTATTTCGAGGTGACTTCCCTTTCTCGTTTGGTGTGTATATATGAATGAAATCATGCGCAACCATCAACAATGGTTTTAATTATATGCTCAGTGCTGTATAACATAATTAAAGATTCTTTTCAGCTAGTTCTAGATATGTCACAGGGTTATTCAAGGTTGAGCGGGTAAATTAAACAGAACAATATTGGATTTTCCCCCAAGTGGATTGTTGTCTTCCTCGTGCAAAAAAAACCTGTTGGGATGTGTGAGAAGGATACGAAAACGTAATTTTTGTAAATGCGCCCCGTTCGCCTGTAGGTTCCCGCAAATGTGCACAAAGGAACAAATGTGAGAAGAAAATGGAGCAAAATCAGAAATGTTTGCAACAATTAGAGTTAAATATTGCTCGTATTTGCCCAATTCTTTGTAAACGTTTTCTGGTCTCAATATTATGTACGGCGAATGTGAAGCCAATTTGTTGACATCTTATGAAGCATTTTAACTTGAATCTTCAGCCATGTAATACGCATCGCAGCGCGAAAATAATAATGCTTTAAACATTCCGCCCATTCTTGAAACAACACCAGGACGCTGCCTCTCTCGAGGTTAATGCGAAACATCTGCAGAAAGTGTTCTTTCTTTAGAAACAGTGGAATCGGGAAGCATGTATTATTTTACATAATACGTGTAAAGGGGTGGGTTTTAAGGAGTTAAACCCATTGCTGCTTGCCTCGTTAACATTGGGCCTACGTGTCTATTACACCAACACACGTCAACCTTATTTATACGTTCAACTTTCCATAGAAAATGATGTTTTATACTGTTGTATACACAACACGCCTATTGTGTGGGCCTGTGCTATAAACGTTTCAGACAGTGCCGCGAAGACATGCATGTGTAATGTTTACCAGTTTGTTTCAAACCTTCAAGAGGTACTCTTGTACCTTCAACCGTTTTCACAAAACACACACCCTGCGCAGGAAATTCTGAATTTCCACAGGTTCGGACATTCTTTCCTTTCATAAATGTTATTGCAAGCGTCGTTTTTAATAGTGATTGCCTTGCGTTTAAAAAAAGGTTGAATATTATTTACCCACAGGCCAGGGCCGGACTAAGTGTCCCTTGGGCCCTACTCCGCTATAGGAAGCTCTGGAGCCGTTGCACCTCGTGTTGGTGCTAAACTACACCGATAAGCTATGTGCTGCATGTATCTAGTCTGAAGCTTGTCCAAAATCGAAAAACCCAAAGAGAAAGGCACAGGCCCTCAATATTTTTGTCTTATAAAGCCCCGAATTTTTGTAGGCCCAACACTATAAAAATGACATTTTTGTACCCACTTTTCCACACGTTTAACCCGTGACAAGTCTATCGAAATATACTAAGGGATGTGTTTAAATGCTAAACGCTTTTCCATGGTACATGTTTAGCTTTTTGAAATGTCTTGGTTAAACATGTTTTTAAAAAAGTGGGTACACAAAAGTGCTTAGAAATGTGTTAAAAGTCAGAGCACTTTTTTCAAAAAGCGTATGGGTATGATGCCTACTGGATATTATCTGGCCAGGGTTTAGGCATCAGACGGAAATGACCAGTTACACATGCGTATCTGTAGAATCCATTTCCTTTGTTTACCAAATGGAACATGAAGGTTTTGTAATTTTTTTAAATTTGTTACAAATGATAGCAAATCTTTATTACTTTTAACGAGGGTTGCGCTCCATAATAAACTTCAAACGTGAAAACTGCATCCTCTTTTGGCAGGACCTTAAGTCACAGTGACATTCCATATGTATTGCATTTGCATCGTTCTTAAGTGTCTCCACTACTGCGAAATTGTGTAATTAACATATTATATCTCACAGATTGATCGATAAAGAAAGCGGATCTTACCATTTTCTTGTAAAAGCAAAAATACCCCGGCAGCTACGTCGATAAAACTTTATCATGTTTATCCCAATGAAGTCATCCCACCGAAAAATTTCCCGTGACACCTACCTCGTCCATGTTGTCGAATGCTTCTGCCCCCGCCGGTAGGCGTTCTTCATATTCCTCTTGGAGGTCTCTGCTATAATGAGCAACGGAACACTTGATTACATCTTGTGGCTTGCATATGTGGGAAGGCAAGCAGAACGATGGACGGTTCACCGACCGCGCGTGGCGCTTCTGGTAAACGCGCAACTCGAAGACGTCAGATCAGTTACAGTGGTTTGGGGGGGGGTGACGGAAAAGAAAGCTCTCGTCGAAACATACAGGGTGCGTCGTTAGTTTGGGAGACGAAAGTTTTTTAGTTTGGGGACCAGAAACAAAATAGCTTACTCTCACTAAATCTTCCGCTGAATTGAGCTGGTGTGACTGCCATAAACTCGTCGATTCTGTCATCATCCTGTAGTAACTCTGAAAACAGAAGTTGTCGAAACGACTAGGAGGGCGTATCAGAGGAATGACGCCATTTCAACTCGTGCCCATAAAACTCCATTAGTCCTTTGCAGCTTACGTTAATAACCAGCAAGCAACCTTTGCTTATATACCACACCAAGTGCAACCGCGCCAAGCTGAGCAAAGTTTCAATCACGGGGCTTGCATTATGGTCTTTCTGCTACTTCGTCTCGTTTCAACGACTAATTGTGGTTACCTCGGGACCGGAGTGGGCCGATTTTTCCCGGCACGATTAAAGTCGTCCAAAATGGTCACTAGTAATGTCTTGAGTACTGACTATATTGACAAAAGGCTGTCGTAGTACTGACAAGATGTCAACACCATCCAACTGTTATCTGTGGTGCCCGCTGCTATATCGCTTATGATCCAACAAACCGACCTCGATCAACTCGCTGGTCGATTGGTAAGACTATAGTAAGCGGGAGTTCATTGGTTCGAATCACCTCAGAGTAAGAGTGCGGTTTTGTTCACATGCCTCCAAGGAAGCACGGAAAACTTGTCTTCCTGATAAGTGAATTCTTGTCGTTACAAAGACTCCGGCAAAACAGGTTGTATTCTGTCAACATAACAAGCTTTTGACGTGAGTGCTTAAAAATGCATAATCTTGTTTCAGTCAACTTTTTTTTATTCTTTGTTTTGCTACCTTAAAGATGTTTTGACACCTTTTGACAGTTTTTATATCCATGTAGCAGAATTGTGATGTCATTTCAAGGAGGAATGCTGCATTGATTTGTGCTCAAAGAACTGCTGTACCAAAGCAACGTTCGTTTGGTTGTCGTGCAAGTACAAGGCAGTAAACCAACAAAAAACTCTGTGTCAGAAACATTTTCAATATGCGAATATTAGGTTCACAATTTGAACAGAAAAACCTGAACAGCATATTGCCTGATTGGCACTAGGGAAATAGCGCTTCATTTGTGTAGAAATACTTGGACATTAGTAAATGTAAACAAAATCACTTTTCAATACACTGAAATCCAAGAGGATGTTACATGATTTTTCATACACCAATGAAGAGTATGAAAGTGCACAAAAAGTGCGTCAAAGAAAAATTAATTTCATGGCCCCCTTAAGCCGCCTACCCTCGGTATCGAAACATCGTTTACACTAAAATGACAGCAAAAACTTTCAGTTGTGTTTCTCCGTGCGCTTTGTATGAAAACTGCAATAAAATTGATGCTAATTACAAAATGAATTTACACATTCTCAGCTATCATGCCGAACCCTCGCGAGAAATGAAATGAACATGGCTGACAGATCAATAAGCGTGTTATCATCTCCTCCTTTTTACCTGCTGTAGTGTAAAAATATTTGCAATATTTTTATTTAAAGACAAAATGGTCTCAAGTTTCAATTTTCTTTTACAATCAGAAATCTGAAACACATTAGATAATAGAAAGAATAACTTGCGAATTCATTGCACCGCCAAGCTGAAACAGTGGATGACATCGCAATTAAGGTTTGGATTTTTTTTGTCGAAGCATCCTACATGATGCACCAACAAGCACGCACGTTTCATCTGTAGCTATGCTCGGAGAGCTTTCGAACCGCGTCCAAGCCAAAAGAGGAATCCCAGACGGGCGGTTTCCATCCGACCGTTTCGTGTTATTCGGCATCCTCAGCAGCCAATCACCTGGTAAGACAGCACGTAACTCACCCTATGTCACCTTTCCAATTCATCCACGGCCATGTTAGTCCATATAAGTATGTAAAACAACCTGTCATCCGCAAAGTTAATCAGTTAGCGGGACTGTGATATTAAAGATGACTGCGGACAGATACGAAAAGGAGTCCCTAGGGACTCAGACATTCGACAACAATATGGCAAATACTGTTCGAACAGAATCTTTCTCTGAGGAGAATATTTGTGTGTTGTAATTCAAAATTGTCCCTTTTTCATTGCTTCCAACGTTGTGTAAGGCAAACTACGTTAAAAATTCTACTAGAAATGTGACTTTAAAATTAGACTCGGCAATAGACCAAGAAATTCCTCCAGCAAAGAGAAAGTGTATGCTCAAACAGTCACAAAGTGAAAAGACCAACAAAACAAGAACAAAATTACAGAACACCAAAGAGAGCCGGACAGATGGATAAGACGGTGTCAGGCGAAATTCCGAAACATTCTAAAGACCAACACTGCAAAAACTGTGTTCAGCCATTTAACACCCTGGTATCAGTTTTTAACTTCTTTGAAACACCAAACTAGGTCCTGTGTGTAGAGTATTCACAGATAGTGTTTAGCAAACTGAACTTTGATATTGAGAAATTAGATGCAATCAGGTTTATAGTGTCTGGAACACATGTTTATAAAGTGTTATGAAGATTGTGTGTAAATGGTGAACACAGCTTTTGGAGTCAATCGTTTACGATGGAGCCTGGTGCCTGAGAAATCCTGCCGTATAAGAACAGCCACAGCATGTAAGCGGTGTCCCAACCTTTTCTTTCAAGAAACACAGAAACAGAGCCGCTTTAATATTGTCACGCACAAGTGATACCACATGATGAAAAAGCGAGAACTCGGGGACTGTCAACGACGTCACCTTAGTCGTATTCACTGATCCATATTCTCAGAAAAAAATGCATCGTATTCGCAAAACTGAAAATAACGCCGTCAAATTACACTCACCATTAATGCAATAAACACGTTTGTTAAGGGTTTTTCACTTCGTTGTCGCCAAAAGATAATGTCTGCCTTGTGAAAAATAGCCCGTATATATTACAAACAAACTATTTTCATGTAAATCTACGGATAAATAAGAGCTATAGTTTAAGGTTTCCCGTAAAATTTCCTTAACTTTTTCCTAGAGTTTGTAATAAGTGGCCGTACATTTTACGTTAAGTCATTGGCACCAATGGCTGCCGGGTAATTTCCCGCAAATCACTTAACGGGAATTTTTGTAAATTTTGTTCCTTTGTGTGTTTTCACTGAATTTTCACATTAAGTCTAATAATGGAACTCTCGTATTGTAGTTAAAGAAAAGTCTTTGAACACAGAATGATTAAAATAACTACTCAAAACAAAATAAATTACTCTAAACAAAATGTTTGTTTTGAAAATTCAAAATTAGGAAAAATTCAGACCCATCTTACGGATCACCCTCGACATGATGCACTTACCGTTGAGAAATTGGTGTTACTAATCCTTTTTATGGAACAGTTCATGGAAAATTACTGTTATTAAACCGCTGGTGAATAACAAGCATGCACGCAAGAAACACATTAGGGTTAATCTTCAGGTAATTGACCTAGACTTATGTCAGAATGATCGTGCGAGCTGGCATTAATAAACCTTATGTCTTTACTAATGAATAACAACAAAGCGATGCACTTTGTGCACCGGGGACCGGCTGACTGTGACCGGCGGATCCAGACGAGTTCCCCGTTTTCATGTCTTGCTTTTTCGGTGCTTGCTGCTGTTACTTGGTCATTCAATTCATCCCAAGACAGAAATGTTCACCCCAATAGGCAAATACATGCAGGACCCTACGTCCAGGGTCACATCCATTGTAAGAAAATATGAGGCTTAGTCGTCACGGGGGACCATTTTTCCATGTATTTTCATTTTTTTTTAAATTCCCTAGGAAGGGTAAAACCCCTACTTCCCGTGTCTGCATGTCAGTGGGACAGATTATAGTCAATTCAATGAACACACGCATGGTAAATTCGAGAAATGACCACTTGTGAACCACTTGTCGATTTTGCCGGGTACTCGGGGTATATTTTGTGCAGAGGTTACCAGGCAAAATAGACAAAACGGTCATCGCTCGAACTTACCCAATACTGATGAGTCATATCAGAGAATTTTATTCAACTGAGGGCGCGCTTAGGGTCCCTCGTATGTTTCTGGACATCTCGGATCCAGTTTGTTCACCTTATGCAGCCTTTCTTAACTTACTACAGGATCTGGTGGAAGAGCATGGACCCTAGCTCAGTCGATTAGGAAGCGCCATGTGTGGCGCTGGACCGCGACTACGTCTACGGGCAGACAGGTGAGAAAAAATTGATCTCAGACTTAATCTGAGGAAAGGTTATTTAACTGTGATGCTATAGACTTATTTGTTATTGATATGAATTTCAACTAACAACCACATTTTCTCGTAACTTCGATTTGGGTAGTACCGGTAGGCTTAATCAGTACTTGGAACACTTTGTCATCATTGATATCCCGCGTAATTCAGTTGCAGTTTGTATTTGGTTTTGTAGTTGAGGTTGGATTATGGACAAGTAAGTGTAGATGAGGATAAAACGTGTCCAGCGCTAGGTCAGAAAAAAATCACAAAAACTCCCGGTCAGAGTTCATGTGAAAAAGTCAAACAATGATTTTTAATTAACTAGTATTGTGAAGTAACATATGCTATATATTTTTTAGAACTTTACGATATATAGCGAAACAAGGGACATTTCACTCCAACATTGCCTGACCACTTGCATGACGTGTGTCCATTAGGGACAAGTTTTTGTAAAAAAAAGTTTGCTTCCCTAGACCCGCAGAATATTGTAATCCACACTCTTACCAGACCCACTTAAGGGTAACGGTGTTAAATCGTTAAAGAAAATTATCCATTTATTCCTTTGACATGCACAGTTCATGTAGATCGTGATCTTGAAAAACGCCTGTGGGAAACTTCAGTACATATAG